TGCATTATATTAACCTGAGATAGAGTCAAGGGTTTCTCAAGTGGCCACCAACAAACAACATCCTGTCCTCCAGAATCTGAAAACACTCAGGAATATTGTAAGATGAAAGTATAAAGCTAAAAAAATTACCAGGCTATGACCAGCACAGGGTGGGATCAGTGGCATGGACAAGGACAAAAGGAGACATTGGGAGCTTTTGCTCAACTTTGGACCAGGTCAGTGTTCTTAGATTGAGCACCTATGGCAAAGGTGCAACATCAGTTAAGTCCCCGTGTCAAAAGCATGAACTTGAGATAGAGAGCACTGAAGTGAGATGGATCTCAAAGCTCCTCTACATTACATTAACCTGAGACAGAGTCGGGGAAGTTTTATGAGTGGCCACCCACAACAAAAAGCATCCTGTCTCTAAACATTTTTGTTGTGTGAAGGCTGGATCCTCGCCCCTGTATTTCCCATCCCACCAGATTCCAAAGCTTCAGCGATCCACCAACGTTCTCCAGGATCTGGATATGAGGTGGAAGAAGGGATGTGTCCGCAAACTCCACGGCATCCTCCACAATCTCCTCGTTCTTCTTTTCGATGGCTTTCAACTCTGCCTCACTGGCTAGTCTTTCTTCCAGCAAGTACTTCTTGAAAGGAGGGATGGGATTGCAAGCGGCATGCTTGCTCTTTTGCTCTGGACAGAAAGAAAGAACAAAGTCTAGCTTCTAAAGAACCAGAAGAGAGTGAAGAACAAAGCAAGGCACTTACCAGGCTTGCAGAGCTCGTCCAGATTGGTGAGAGAATGACCTCTATATACTGATGAGTCTCACACTCCACTAATATCAGGCCGTCACCCCTCTGAGCTCTCGCAATGGCTTCCTTGGCCACCTCACCGACTTTGAGCATGTCCATTCCATCGATGTGAACTCCATGCATACAAAAGCCTCTCTTTTCTTCCAGATCTCCGGCACTAATGTAGCTTGAAAGTGGTCCATGGCGATTGCCCAGAGGTTGTTCTCCACCACGTGGACAATCGAGGTAGACAGATACTAGAGGTGAAAACCATTCATTGCAAACATCAATCTCTCTATAATAGTGGAGCACTTTCTTCCATTTTCATCTCCGTGACAATCCCACCATTTGCTGATGGCAGCAAGAGGGATGGAGGAGAGTTGTTTACAGCAGGGTGTACTCTTGAAGGCTTGGATTTAAATCATTGTCTTGCATAATGCTGCAAAGTTTTAGTTATAACACAAAAATGAAAAAATATAAAGCCATTTCACCAATTTCCTCAACTTTTTCCCCTTGCGACTTGACTACAAGTCTGGATCTTGTTCCTGCAAGTGAAAGTGAAAGTCCCTGTGTGAAAAGCATGAACTGGAGATAGAGAGCACTGAAGTGAGATGGATCTCAAAGCTCCTCTGCATTACATTAACCTGAGACAGAGTCGGGGAAGTTTTTTGAGTGGCCACCCACAACAAACAGTTATTAAAGAGCGAAAAGCTACATACCTGGACATCGTTCACATAGTGGTTCCCTCCAATCATGAACATCTTATTGTGTACAACCACTGCTGCATGCTGCACACCAAGGTTTACAATGTAGTTTCACACACAAAAAAAGACAAACCTGATAGTGAGATGCTGATCTTCATTGAAGCGTTGCCACCCCTTTGGCACTTGATCTATGCCATCTATTTGAATTTTTTGAATTTGAATCATTAGATTATAAGTATATTCAGAAATAATATTCTAAAAATGGAATAAAAGATGCCAGATGCCATATGCCAATAGCACGTTTAAATAAGGGAGTATGATGATAACAAAATTCACTGTCAAATGTTTTGCTTGGACTAAAGGAAAATTATGTGGTAAACAGATTATAATAAGCACTCATATTCCAGCTCCATTTTTTAGGGACAATGTTAATCCTCCACAACACTTTGATCAATTCATATGGTTTAATTCAACATAAGTTGCAGCATAGGTTACTAGAACATGTATTAGTTAATTTACTCTAATTTAAATAGGTTTTAAATTTGAAAAAAAAACACTTTACAACCAAAGTTAGAAGCTCAAGCCCAAAACTTTCTCAAGAAATTAAAAAAAAAAAAAAAAAACAAATATGTGAAAATTACAAATACTTGCTCAAAGAATAACATATTTAAAGGCATTGGAGTTGAAAGTTGAAGGCAAAAGTTAAAAGTAACAGTATCAAACAATAATACCATCATCACAAATTTATAGTTCTCAACCTTGGAATTGATACTATAAATGGGGAGGTCTATGGTAAAATTTTCATCCCTTGCAAGCATATATATATTTCTTATTATGTATTTGTTGGAATGGATTCAAATACTAAGCTTTAGATCTGCAATATTATGGATGTTACATTATTATTAATAAATTTTTTATATTAAATTACAGAGAAATAAGACAAGAAAGATATTTATATTATTAATAAAAATAATTTATATAAAATTACATTATAAATAGAGAATTCTTACTCTAATAATTAGTCTCAATACAAAATTTGCTTTTAGTTATTACAATAAAGCTTTAGGTTTGCTTAATCAAACCTGTAAGGATGGTAATGGATATACCTAGAATATGCTTAAATATCCTAAGATATTCTACCATCTAATGGTTGATATGCAATAAGATTAATTTTATGTTTATAAATTATAAAATTTAGATCAATTGGATTAATAAATACGATAATAAAACAAAATGTGACTGCATGCAACATGCAGATTAACTGAAAAATAGGATCTAAACTCTGAACCTCTATTAGTTAACAATTGCCACTAAGAATTTGAGATTGGATTTAATTTTATTATAATTAATGTTCTTTTTATCCTTTATTGCCTCTAAAACTGTCAATTTAAAACCTTGACAGAATCCTTTGGGTATAACAGAATATTCTAAGAATATTACAGCAATGTCGTATATGTCGATTATCTCGTTTGAGGAGCTACGTGAAAGAATATATTGAAGCCAGTGATCTGAGAGTGCTGGGACATCGCTGTAAATATTAAATGAGGCAAGTCATGTATTTTACTTGCATATGCAACGTTTCCACCTTCGTGTAAAGATGCTCGGCTCATAGACAACGTATCGTCGATTGGATCAATGCGACTGGAGGAACTTCCTCTGCTTTCGATAACAAAGTGCACTCACGCTAGAAAAGAATGCAATGAGTCTCCAGTACTCGTTGTGCAATGCTGCGTGAAGAATGCCCTATAAAACAGATCAATCAGGTAATCGACGACAGAAACCACATGGTTGGGCTGGTGGCCCTCTAGAGCGGTAACATTCCTTGAGAACCACGACACAGGATGAAATCACCGTCTTTGTGCGTCTCCTCTTATTGTTGAGCCAGTAAGAGATTTGTTGCTCACTCAATCCTGTCTCTGCTACCAACTCACTTCTTTCTTCGTCCTGAATAGATGCAAGTGTTAGTTTCTATACATAGGGAAGAAAAGACCATAAGAAGCAAGAATCTTACCGTCGGATACGGATTTTCTATGTTCTTCTTCCACCATTCTTCCAGCTTCTCTGTTGCAGCTATGGGGTGGAGATATCTTTTTGCATCTTCTGGCCGTGCCTGCTGGAGAATGTCGTGCTGGTGCTGCTGATCTTCTTGAAAACAAGAATTCTCCCCTCCATCTCCGGAGTGAATTCGTTCCAACGAGAAACGCTGCAGCAATGCGTCTTCCCGAAAACCTGTAAGCGGAAAAGCGAGTAAAAGAAGAGCTTTGACTCACCCTTTGATGACTGCTCTGCCTGCATTGGCGCGTCACCATGCTTTAGCGCCGATGCGAAGGCAGCAGCGCAGGACTCGTTCTCCTCCTGCTGCTCGAGAAACCGAAGCAAGGAATCAAACTCCTGGCTATTGAGCTCGCCATTGAACGGGAGATCCCCCCAGACGCATCCATGATCGGCCAGCGCGCACAGGGGCGTTGTCGAAAATGGATGGCTACATCTTAGAAACGTGGCGAGAAAGCGACGAGACCGCGGGAGTCGAGGGATCAGAGCGCCCGTTCTCTAGCTCGGGGGATTCGTCTGTGATCCTTCGCCGCCGGTTGGATGACCCGGGGATTTTCTCTAAGATCAAAACTGGGCCGTAGGATGGTGTCATCGGACGGCTAAACCCAGTGGCTGATTTTGGTGTTCAAATTCAAAGAATATTCGATGGTCCCTCGTTGATAAGAAAAGGAAAATCACCCTTTATAAATATATATACATTTGAATTAATATAAACATTAATTATAATTAAGTTAGTTTTAATGTACTATTAACAATTACCACTTCACTGCATTTGTGCAGGGGATCGTGAGCTCGGATTTGTGGACCTTTCGAGGCTGGTGATGCTGCTCGTTGCGTAGTGGAGCGAAGATCTCATCATCGTCAGCCACCACAAAGAAATCCCTGCTCCAATTGCTGTTCCTCTTGGCGGGGCGGGGCTTGTTGGGCGGCTGCGGCGGCGCCCACGCTGCTGGCTCGGGAATTTGGTGCTGCCGCCCTTTTGGAGTCGCGCATTCTTCCTCTTTCCTTTCCTCTGCGGCCTGGCTCCCACTCATCCTACGATCTTCCGCCTCCAATTGGGGAGAGATCTTAACACTTCGAAGCCCAATTCCACACAAATTCATGCCAAGAAATCCACTCACACTCGCTCGGTGGAGCTCTAGATCCAGCGCTGTTGCTCTCCCCTTTGATCTTGGCAAAGAATTGGCAAAGAAAGCTCCCGCCGCCGCCGCCGCCGCCGGGGACACTAGAGCAGCACAAAACACTCTTTCCAGTTGAGTGTCGGGAGCTATAGGCGCTGCCCGCTGCCCGCTACTTTGAAATGCCGCTAACTAAACTGCCGGGCAGCGCGGCCTAACCGCCGGGCAGCGTGTTCTTTCAGTTGACTCCCGCTATTTTAGGGAAGAACTGAGATACTGTCGCTTCACTTGGCTGGCGAGCTCCGAAAAATCGGTATTTTCTCGCGTTTTCTCGCTTTTCTCGGCTTGCTGATTGGCTGGAAAAGCTTTTTTTAATCTCTTATTTACATAAAAAATCTCTTTTTCTCTTTGCTCACTGCGACCATTCTACTGGATCCCCGAGCTGGGCTTTCAAGAGCACGGAGAAGGCGCCTTTTTGGCTCCAGAGCGCTTTCACCTGGAAAAAATCCTCGCTTCCATTCTCTGGGAAGAGAACAGGCGAGCACACACGAATTTGTAAAGAAAACAATGGAAGAGAAGAAAAACAACCTTTGCTGCAGTGAATGGTGCTCTTCCATGTGATTCCAGCTTGCACTCGCCCTTTAGAGGCAACTGAGCAGATCGGCGATATAGTATTCCTCCCGTGCCTCTGAACAGCCTGTACGACAAGTAAATGCCATTTAAATTTTCTCTCGCATCGTCGTGGAAGCTGCACGAACATACCTGCAAGATCACGCTCTTCCCGGCGTAGTGATCGTTGCTGTATCTGGAAAACACGCTTAATCCTCTGGCAAATCTGCACAAGCCGAAAAACAAATGGCATAGAAAATCGTATCTCTTTGCTTGAAAGAACTGAAGAAATAGAATAAGATTTACTCACTTGTGAGAGGTTGCAATCCCCCAGGCCGGTGGCGACGAAAAGTCGGTGCTGGAAACGATGCTCGACAAGGAATGTTTATCGTCTTGAGAACTGCAATGAAGAACAAAAAAAGAAAAACGTAAGAAAAGAAGTATGTGAAAGAACACACACTGATTGGTGCTAAAAAATTACAGCAGTTTTGCACCACATCATGCTCTCCACGGCGACACGATGGCGACAACGCAAGTCAGTCCCAGCGGTGAGAGAGATTCGTCCATCCGCAAGTCGAGGGATTGGAGGCGTGTGGATAATTCTCACACGGAGCTCTGTGAATTGGATGCTCGTCCCCTCGATCACACTGTCCACCATGGTTCTCGATCCAATCTAGAAAGAAAAACGAAGAAAGTTGATCGAAAACAGTCAGTTCTCCATTAGAACGATTGAAGAAAACCAGAACTTTCAAACAAAAAACCAAGAAAGTTACACTCTGGAACGATCGAAGAAAACTAGAACTTTGAAAGAAAAGTTGATCAATAACAATCAAAACTAGAATTTTGCAAGGAAGATCGTGGAAAACTTACAGCGTGGGAGCCAGTGAGACGCAGCCTCTTGTCCGGATCATTCCCTCTCTCTCTAATTTCTTTAGGCCTGGAAGAGATATTACCGGGAGGAGAAGAATTCCGACCTAGGGGGCCGCTGATTCGAGACCCCAGCGCGGCGGAGCTGAAGAGCAGCATTGCGCGCTCGGCATTGAGCGCCACGGAATCCTCCGGCCGGTGATCCAAGACGGAGCGCGCACCTCGCGCGATCCGAGCCAGCAGAGAATGCCGCCCCGCCGGGAGCGGCCTCACACGTTCCAATGCGCCGACCACGCGTAGCACTGGGAAATCACAAGCAGCGCTGCCGGGGTGTGCCTCCTCCTCCTCCATAGCCGAAAACCTCAAATCTCCCCGATCTACAGCCGTTCGATTAGATCCATCGAAGCCGTTCGTTGATAAGCCCAAAGCCCTAACTCAAAACTTATTGTCATTTAGTTTCTTTGGACAATGCATTTTTTTTCTTTGGATTCTTCTGACATATTTCACGAAGAGTGCTTGTAAATGGCTCTTTTGTTGATCTTCTGGAGTGGCCTTGCGTTTTTCCCCTGTTGCAAAACCATAGAAAATATCCATCTAAAAAAATGATTTTTAACAGTTTACCTGCAGGAGAGCTATGACCCTTTTGATCTGGCTGCTAGAAACTGTTCCCGTCTGTAGAAAATGTGATGGTTTCGCAAGAAAAAAAATGAAGAAAAAGAGTGATTTTGAGAGCAAACCTTCTTCAGTATTGTCCAAAGAATCCCTTCGCTGCAGGGTGGAGTTGTGAGCGATCCAAGGTATCGGTAATAACCTCCGTGAAGATTGATATAGTTGGAGAGGTTGATGGTAGCGTTTCCTCCTTTGAGCTTGAGTATCTGGAGCATTAGTGCGTTAGCGGCTATACTTTCTTTTATCCCAACGCTACTGACTTGATCGAGCAGTGGATCGCTCCTTCCGAGCTTGAAGAGCTTAGACACCACTGTGATCTGCGATGAATTTGGTGCTACCTTGTGAACCAAGTGAAGCTCCAGCGGGAAGCTGTGAATCTCTCTCTGTGAATTCGACCAAGAAAATAGAGATTTTCTTAAGTTTACCGAGTTCCATCCACGGTGTGCTCGCTTGGGATGTGGAAGTGGAAATCTGTGAGCGTATATGTTGCCCGGTTGAGTGGAAGTGTGCAGTGTGCTCCAGCAATGAACACCTGAGCAAGGAGAACGAACATAAACTTGTGAATGATGGATCACAAAAACTTCTGGAGTTTCTCTGGATTTGCCTTGAAAATGTACTGGCTGGAAGCGATGGAGCAAACGCTGCTCTGGTAGTGGGCTCGCAGGCCTGGCAAGCTGGAGTTTAGCTCGGCGTGCTTGCTTCGGATGGCAATCGGCGACTGCGCCTTTCCATCGCTACACTCTTTCCAGTCGCTCTTGAGATCGCCCCAGTGTCTTGGACCTCGAGCTCCAACGTAACTATAGTCGATCACTGCAAGCAACACAAAAACAATCAAAGTCGAGGGATCTCAAACAAAGAGATCAACTTCATCCACAGAAAACTAAAAGATGACATACCCAGTGCAAGCGAGCATTGAGACAAGATGACGACGAGCAGCGGAAGAGTCCAGAACTGTGGCAATCCAAGCAGCATTCTCATCGTTCAGCAGACCTTTCCTTTTTATCTTCGTCTTCTTGCTCTTCTTGGAGTTTTTCTCGCGCTTTGATTGCATTGCTCTTAAGAAAGCGAGGCCGCTGGCTACGTCCTTGTCACGTACAAAGCAAAGCCACAGGGAGCTTTTCTTTACCCCATCTCCGAGTGCGCGTTGTACACACCGACATTGCTCTCTATCTCTTCCCATCGGTGCGGTCCCAAAAAAATCCCCATTTGTGCAAACCTGGAAAGATTCATATTCCCTCCCACACTTTCGTCTCTCCTGGATCGATTCCATAACGAAAATCTCCTCCTTTTTGGAGGTAGCTCACCGGCGCATTCACGGACGAGGGATGAGCCACCCAGCCTTCGTTTTTATGGGTTTAGGGTTCCTTGAATTCCCGTCATGACGGCATATGCCGCGCCGGGGATATTCCGTCCGCCGCGTTGGATCCGGTCAACTGGCTGTGGCGGCTAGGTAGTCCAATGTTGTCGCGCTGATCCAAGAAACCGGTCGATCCCGCCGATCGATCGCAATGAAGCGGCTGTCCATCGGCGCCAAGCTTGGCGCCCTAGCGGCCTTCGTGATCTTCTCCTACTATCTGGGACGCCCTGTCTACTGGGAGGTCTTGTCGCGGGCGGTCCAGGGCTATGGTCGATCGGTGAATTTCGGAGCTGCCTCGCGGTCCTCCTACATTCTTTCGTCGCCGCCTTTGCCTGGTGAGTGAGATTCCAGCTCGCGATCTTGGAGCCCTCGCTCGAGTTTTTGTTCTTTATGTTATCTTTCTCTCTTTTGCAAGCAACCAATTTAGTGGATCTCATTCACTCACTGCCGGTCTTTGCTAGATGAGACGAAATTAAAGGAGAGAGGTGGCCGTGAGGATCCGACCACTGTGCGTGATCCCAAGAAGTTTATGAATCACGACGTGCTCAAGAAGGCTATCTGGGAAATTCCTCCGCATGGATCAGAGCTTCCACCCCGCGAGGCGTTTGTGCTCTCGAAAGAAATGGTGGAGTTTCGGGCGAAGAAGAACGTGATCATGGTGACTTTCGCGAACCACGCATTCGAGGACTTTGTGCTGACTTGGGTGAGGCACTTAACTGATGTTGGTGTCACCAATCTTCTCGTTGGTACGTCTAAGTTTGCCATAGCCTCGAGCTAAGTACACCTTTCTTTTGTTGTTTTGATCAGGTGCTATGGATCGAAAGATTTTGGAGGAGCTTTTCTGGAAAGGTGTCCCGGTTTTTGACATGGGCAGTGAGATGAATCCTGCTGATGTTGGATGGGGAACTCCCGTGTTTCATAAAATGGGACGTGAGAAGGTTTTCTTGGTGAATGCGATCATGGCAATGGGATTCGAAGTTTTATTCTGTGACACTGACATGGTGTGGATGAAGGTACGAGTTTTCATCGTCTCGTGTGACCTTTCGCACTTTTCTCGGACGTTGGAACCAGCTCGGGTGTTTTGCAGAATCCATTACCATACATGGAGCGCTATCCTGATGCTGATGTTTTGGTGTCTAGTGACGCCGTGATAGCGACTGTGACTGACGAATCTCTGGAAGATTGGAGACGATGTAAGTTTCCGAACGCATGGTTTTGTTTCCCTCCGTTTCATGTTTTTTCCTCTGTTTTGCAGCTTATGCGGCTCTCAACATTGGTATTTTTCACTGGAGGCCAACTGAAGCCGCGAAGAAGTTCGCACGGGCCTGGCAGATCCAGCTCGAAGATGAAAAGATTTGGGACCAGAACGGTTTCAACGAGCTGATTCAAAATGGGACGCGCGAGGCTGTCGATCCCGACAACGACCGTGGATTGTTTTATGCCTTCGACAGAACATTGAAAGTCGGTATACTTCCCGTGAGCATGTTCTGCAGTGGACATACGTACTTCGTACAGGTCCGCATGCTATCGCTTGAAAGATTAGATAAGATTCTAAAGATATTGCTTGATGGTGGCAGCATTTGTACAAGCAGCTGGGACTAGACGTGTATGCCGTACACACGACATTCCAGTTTGCGGGAACTGAAGGAAAGAGGCATCGGCTCCGGGAGGCCCAACTCTTTTTTGACAAGCCAGAGTATTATCAAGGCAAGAGTTTCTTCTTTCTATTCTTTCAAATCTGTAAGCTTTCTCTCGGCTTTACAGGGCGTTTCATAGCGTTCGACGCTTCCATACCGAAGGAGCTACTGACGGGAGGGAACCACTCCGTCGAGACGCATTTCGCGTTGGTCAACTACCAAGTATTTTCTCATTGTACTTTTCTCAAACTGCGGTTCTTCTTCTAATCCTTGAGGATCGGTTGTAGCAGCGGAACTCACAGCTTTATTCTTTCATCACTCGCTCACACTGTTTAGTTGTTTGGTGCAGATGAAACGAGTGCGGGAAGCGCTTGCTGTGGCATACGTTCTGAATCGAACTTTGGTACGTGGTGTTCAAGCATCTCACATTTTTTTGCTGATTTATTTTCCTCCAGGTGATGCCCGAAATGTGGTGTAGGAACGATCGACTGTGGTTTGGTCATCCGGGTATTTTGCACGACACGAAAACACCACAGCCGTTTTTGTGTCCCATGGACCATGTTTTCGAGGCAAGCTTTTACTTCGGTGTTCTATTCTATCTCTTCCTTACGCCGCAGGCTCAACAGGTTTCGAATATGTTGAAAAATATGCCAGAGGAAGAGTTCGGGCCTGCGATAGACTTCCGGGAGTATTCTTTTCTGGAAAATCCTCGAGTTCCACAAGAGGTACAGTACTAATAAACAAACAAGTTGTCCACTGACACAGAGATTTCTTTCAGATAAAAACCTCGAGGCTATCCATCCGGTTGTGTTCTCGAGGCAAGAACTGTAGCTCGGAAGTATCTCAAGGAGCTATCGAACTACCGATAAACATGACTGACACCCAGGTACTAGCGTAAACACTAGTCACTTTCAAAATCACTCTAAACAATGGCAAATTTCTTTTTGCAGCTTAGAGACGAGTTCTCCAGACACAAGGACGTCAAAATCCTCGACTTTTCGACAATGAAAAACGTTTTTGGCGGCTTTGTTGACAAGGTCAGTGAGTGAAGCCAAAACGTGCTTCCAGTTCACTGTTTTCTTGCGCTTTTTGTCAGGACAAAGCTTTAAAGTTTAGGAGGCGGCTCCAGAGATACACGGCAATATGGTGCTGCTTGGAGAGCCTGGAAAGAGGCCACATTTACTACGATTTTTTCTGGGACGAGAAGCCTGGGTGGAAACCTCTACCGCCCACACGGCCTGAAAACGATCATCCACCTTTCGATTAGAAACTTAACAAAGTTTGACAAGATTTTCCTCCCTATCAAAAAATAAACATACGAAAAGAGCGAAGAACAAAGAAGGTGCGTTTGCAAGTAAAGAGATTTTATTCCTTGGCCATACTTACATGGAGCAGAAGAAACCGGATCTTCACCCCCCATTCACGAACCAGCGAAGAAACCAAAAAAAAAAAAAAAGTGAAGCACAAGAGAAGAACAGGAGATCTCTCCCTCAGTGAAACCACCAGTGTCTCTGAGAAGTACCTGGAACGTCGTTGGAGTGGAACATCATCTGGAACTCTTGGAACAATCGATCGGGTTGTCTCCCCACGAGATGGTTGGCCAGAGATATAAACATGAATCCCATCACGCTCAGCACTGGTCCCACGGCGAGAATGAGCCAGCTCCGCGATATTCCCCGGTAGCCACCACCGCCACCACCACCACCACTGGTCACTTCCTCGCTGCTATCTCGGCAACTTTCTTCGCTAGAACCTCCAGAGTTTTGCCCCCGGTCGGCACCACTGCTGCTCTCTTCGCCACCAATCGTAGTAGCAGCGGTAGTAGTAGTAGCAGCAGCAGGAGTGGCACTAGCCGCAGTGCCAGGAGTGGAGTCCTGGGCTTTGCGGCCCTTCTTTTGCTCCTCGTAGTCGGGATCATCCGTGGGAAGCTCGTAGCGGCAGACCGGGCAAGAGTTTCTCGATCCCAGCCATGGCAGGATGCAGTCCTGGTGGTAGAGGTGCAAGCACGGCAGCTGCTTGGCGGGCTCGTCCAGCATCAGCTGCTCCTTGCATATAGCGCACACCGCGATCCCGCTGTCTATGTGGTGCTGCGCGATCTTCACCATCTCCAGCTCGTCCACTGCCGACTTGGCCGCCGGGGGAGCACCGCGCCGGGTGGTGTCGTTCTCCGCCAGCTGCTGGAGGAGCTGCTCGAATCCTCTAGAGTCGAGGTAGTCGCCCGGGTTGCCCAGGTACACGTCCGGGAGCTCCAGCCGGACCTCGAGGTTCTGCTCCAACAAGTTCTGGAAGATCTCCCTCATGTAGAAAGTGAGGTTGTTCCTGGCCCTGCTCACTCGCTCCTCCCGATCGCCGCCAGAGTCGTCGCCAACCACGTCCGCATCGATCCTGGTGGTGTGGGTGATCACTCCTCCGTCCTCCTCCTCCTCGGCCTCTTCCCACTCGTCGTCGTCCTCGTTGAGATCAAAGCCCTCCAGCTCCAGCCGCAAGCCACCGGTCTCACTGTCGCTCTCGTGCTCCTCAGAGAGATCGTCCTGCCCGAGCTGCCGCTCCCGGACGATCATCACGCGACCTTCAGCAGCTGTTCCAGGCGCTTCCTCCCCTCCAGATCGAGCAGGCAATTCGCCCTCTTCAACAGTGTCGCCAGGAGGATTCGGTCCACCATTCTCGATCTCCAGCGCATTGGCCCCCGCGGCATCGCTGGAAGCCCCTTGCCGGCTGTTCGCCCTCGACGCCTCGAGAAGGATCTGGACCATCTGGAGCATCTGGTGGGGATACATATGCTCCAGGGCGTCGCTGAGAGGGATGGTGTCGTGAGCTCTCCTGCGCCGCCGCCTCGACTGGCGGCCAAATTCTGGAGCCGCAGCTGCCGCCGTCGCGATGGCCTCCACAAATCCACCCTCACACTCGGCGCATGTCATGCCGTCCTGGGCCCCCGCCACAGCTACCTCCTTCTCGCATTGGTAGCAGAAATACCTCGGGCTCTCATCGCCATCGCCGCCGCTGCTCGCCTGTGCGGTATGATCTGCCATGGCGCTCGCTATGGATCGATCTGCAGCCAAGCCGATCAACACAGATCAAAACCTCCCGGAATCGCGAGAAAGAGACTCACATCCCCAGGCGAAGAAAACCCTTTCTCCCTACGCGCCCTAACCCTAAGAACACTATGGATCTGCTTTTCAGTGGAAAATGTATGCCTTTGGAGCAATCGCTCCGACACGTCAGACATATCTGCCGACGTGTAACACTTTAAGACACGAGTCACGACGTGGCGGTCCGGACACTTGGCACGTCACTATAAGGCAGCACACTTGTCATTACACGTCATCAATAAGGGACATGTCTCTTGTTGGATTGCTTGGCCCTCTTGAGCACCAGATTGCTCGAAACCCAAGCACTGCTCTCAAACTCGGAGCTCGAGCTCGGTTTGCTCCAGCTGCAAAGCCGTCCATCTTCGCCGCCGGACCAGCAAAAGAGCTCGCTTTGATCGAAAGTTTTCACGCTCCGGACGACTGCGGTGTGACCTCCTTCCAGAACCGAGCAAACTGGGCCGATCTGGCCGGAGCAGTGCGTGTCACCACCGCATTTCGTGTAGTTCACCGGGAACATTCCAATCGTGCCCCCGAGAGTTCCTGCTACGAGGCACAGGCCGTCTAGTGTCGGGGAGTAGTGGCAGTCGATCAAGTAGTTAACCTGTGTCGATGCTTGCTGCCGTGAGAGACGAATCTATCGTGGAAAGAAGTATACTTACAGGTGTTAGTGACCATGCAGCGGAAGCTCTCGATCTCGTGTCTCCAAAGTCTGCCTCTAGCCTCTTCTCTTCGAAGTTCCAAACGCTGCAGGATGACCAAGACTTGAGATCCAGTAACGAGATAGTGCTAGTTACCTCAAGGACTCTGTATGAGTTAGGCACCAAACTTTCTCATTAGATTCGCCATAGAATCCTATCCTCGCAACTGAAGTACCCACGCTCAAGACCTGCGTGATCCAGCGATTTCACAGCTAGCGAGAGAATAAAGAATAAGCTTACAGAATCTAGGCCCTCGTCGTCATTGATGCCTCCACTCGTATCGATCGCGCACATCAAACCATCCACTGATGCAGAAAGAAGCTTGTCCATTTTGTTTGGATGGAACCGTACCTGTCAAGCACAGTCAGAAAAATTCCAGCTCTCTTTCTTTTTCTCCTTTCTGCTAGACAGACCTGTGTGACGTCCTCAGTGTGGCATTCCTCTAAGCATCCTAATTGCTTCTTGGTTCTCCAGTCCCAGAACATAATCTGCACAAACAGCACAGTACTGGAGGCAGTATTTCCAAAGTTCCTGTTAAGCCTTTAGTGGAAGTACCTGTGCTTGGCTTCCAGCAGCGATCAAGTTTCCACTCATCCCACCTAAGCTAAAACTCCACAGTTCTCTAGGAGATGGAGATTTTAGACAGCCTATCTGTAGATAGGAAAAGGGAAAATCTTAGAAGGAAAGTAAAAACTATACACACAGACCTGTCTGTGCGTTCGCGTATCCCAAATTCTTAGCGTTCCATCCGTGGAAGAAGAACACAACTTATGGGGCGCCAAAGGACTAGGAAAGGCAATGTCTGTAATGGTACTGGTGTGACCCGATAATTCCCCAAGCAGCTTGTCCTTGACAGGAGAATAGAGCTTGATCCCATTCGTGGACAGGGACACGGCCATCATGCTATCCCCACTGAAAGAAATCCCGGAGATCAAAGCGAGATCCAAGGGCGCCATACCTGGTCGAGATGTCGAAGATGTAATCCGGATTGTCCGGCGCGCCGAAGCTCGCCTGGATCGCCTTCTTGAGGCTGTAGCGCTGCGAGCCTCCGCCAGTACTCGCGCTCTCCATCGGCCCTGGAATGCCAAAACCCTAAACCCAGCAGACAGAATATCCCACGCCGTCGGGAGATATTCCGTCTTCGTGCACCTCACACTCCGGTGCATTAAAGAACCGAGGCCTTCAAGGAGGAGGAAGGAGACGATCCCAACGCCAAAGAGTAGAAAGCCTGTCCTCCCGTCCTCTAGCTTTAATGGGTGTCTCCCACTCAACGATGCCAGTGGAGTACAAAGGGGCGACGAGGAAGGGGGGATCACCACTGTCCTATTCGAGTTTCTTCTGCCTTCTTCGATCGAGGCGCGCGCCTGGACGATGATTTCCCTGGCGATTTCTCTCCTTTTCTGCTCTCTCTCGGTCTCGCGCGCGCAGCTCATCCCCGCGGCCTTCACGTTTGGCGATTCCACTGTCGATGCCGGCAACAACGACTACCTCAAGACGATCTTCCGGGCCAATTTCCCGCCCTATGGCCGGGACTTCGACACCAAGCAGCCCACTGGGCGATTCAGCAACGGGAGGACTCCCTCGGATTATCTCGGTGAGTGGATGGATTCCTTGTTTCTTCATATGTTGCAGCGATCGATTCGGGCAAATGTGCGTTGTTTGCAGCGGCTTTGCTGGGACTGCCGCTCGCTCTCCCATACTTGGATCCCTCAGCCAAGGGGCAAAACATCGTCACGGGTGTGAATTTCGCAACGGGAGGATCTGGATACCTGTCAGAGACTGGAGCGACGCTGGTGATTTTCGAAAATTTGCCAAGAACAGCACAGTGTTCTCTGTTTTTCTTATCAATCCTCTGTTTTCGCTGTTCTTGTGCTTGAGCAGAATGTGCCAGGCCTGGATGGCCAGCTCCAGTGGTTCAAATCCTACACGCAGAATCTCGTCAAGATCGTCGGGAAGGCGAATGCGACGAACATCATCTCGCAGGGGGTCTACACATTGAGCACTGGCAGCAACGATTACGTCGCGAATTACTACGTCAATCCCCTCGTCCAGGAGAAGTATAGCAGGAACGCCTTTCGCTCGCTGCTCCTCAGCTCCTTCACCCAATTCACCAAGGTAGCCTCCACTCTTGTTTCAATTCTCTCGCTCCATCGATACCGATATCGATTTCTCATCTCCATCGCATCGCCAGGCGCTCTACAGCTTGGGTGCTCGCAGGATCGCGGTGGTGAGCATGGCGCCGCTGGGATGCCTGCCATCGATGGTCACCCTCTACGGGAAAGGATCGCTCAGCTGCGTCGACTTCGCCAACCGCGACGCCCGCCTCTTCAATCGGGCGCTCAACTCGACAGTGACATCGATCAGAGCGAGCCTCAAGGACATCAAGCTCGCCTACATTGACATCTACCCGCTGGTCGAGGACGTTATCAAGAACCCTTCCAAGAACGGTGCGTAAGGGGTGATCGATCGATCAGAACAACTGCTTCGGTGGAGCGATACTGATTGTTTGATCGACTTGCAGGGTTTGAGCAGACCACCACTGGGTGTTGCGGCATCGGCAGGCTGGCCGTCAGCATCCTTTGTAACGAGCATTCAATCGGGACGTGCAGCAATGCCAGCAAGTACGTGTTCTGGGACAGCTTTCACCCAACCAGCACCATGAATCAGCTCATTGCAAATACTGCTTTCAACCAGGGAATTGGCCAACTCCTGTGAAAGAGAGAGCTCTGTGTAGGATATATTAATGAAAAGAGGATGATCCTTTGTTGTTAAGGCAAATGCACAGGATTTGTTCTTGGGTTGGGTGTGAAGCAGAATCACCTCTTGCCGCTTTCATTCATTCATGTATTGTTTAAAACTGTACAGGATCTAGATTCATTCATATACTGTTTACATGGTCTCGCAGCACCAAGCATGAGATAGACATTGAGGTGTATCGATTCAAGTTATATGTTTGGATGTAATAAAAAGAACAGCAACAGCTCATTGCAATCAATCAGCCAACTCTTGTGAAAGAAAAATTGGTAGGATGTTTTAATGAGAAGAGCGCAATGCAGCAATTCTCCTATTAAGGCAAACAGGTTATATTCTTCAGTGAAAAGAACTCAATGCAGGCAGCATATCCCCTGTTAAGGCAAATGCACAGGACTTATTCCTTTGTTAAAAGGTTGGTTTCATTTGTCAGAACACTCTTTCTACAAACAAAAAATCGGCTTTTTTACTAGTCTTGCACCACAACTTTGCATTGAGTTTGGCGAGCAGCTGACACGTATCACATATAAGTTTTTTGGCCTTTTCTTCTCCATGCAGCAACTCTGAAGAGCTTGTGATATCTTGATTTAATCGATGGTACCTCAGACAATGGTCATGTTTCGTGAAATTATACTATGGCTTGGCTAAGCTCCCCATCGAGTTTAGTCAGTCACACTTAAACGTCCATTTTCTTAAGCGTGTTTTAATCTAGGGCTCTTCTCGCTCGGCGCCATGGGGGGGACGCTCGCTGCCCACGCTCTACCAGGTATCTTTCTCATCGCCATCGGCTTCTGGCACCAGCTCCGCGCGATCTCCACCTACATTCGCTCGCCCCGCGACTACTCCGCCAGGCTATGGCACCCGGTCGCCGGCCTCCGCGGCCGGATCAAGCACCTCGAGCTCTACATCCTCCTCCTCGCTCTTCCCATCGCCATTGTCTACGAGCTGGCCGCCTCCACCGATTTCCAGGCCCTCCTCCAGATCGGCGCCCCCAACACCCGGGTCGTCGACTTCCAGCGCGCCGCCATGCTCCTCGGCTTCCTGTTCCTCGTCGTCGTGCTGCTCGTCAGTGACACGACGCTGTGGCTTCCACTCCCCGCCGAAGCAGCCTTCCTCCTCTCCGCGGTAGCGTTTGGGATCGAGTGGATGGTTCTGTCCCAGCACGGCCAGGATCTTGAGGGGAAATGCAATGCCATCCTCTCCAACCTCGCGGCGGCGTGCTCGATCTCAGCGGCGCTGCTGGCCTGGAAACCCACTGCCATCCTCGCCGATCTGGTGTTGACCGAGTCGATCCTTCTGCAGGGATCGTGGCTCGTGCAGTCAGGCTTGACGCTCTTCGTCAAGAGCTTCACGCCGGAGGGCTGCCACCAGCTGCTGGATCTTCCGCGAGGAGTTGGAGGAAGCACCAAGTGTGATCTCGAGGAAGCTAGAGCTCGGGCCTTCTCGCTCGTGGACCTGGCTTTTATCTGTCACCTCCTGGTGGCGATGGTGGTGAGCTCGTTTCTCTACTGTGGAGTCGCCAGGAGGAGAAGCAGTGGTGGTGGCTACGAACATCTGCCAGTTGTGGACATCGAGTCCAGTAATGGGAGCTCCATACCTATGAAACCGATCACGAAGCAAGCTCAGTACTAGGAGCCCAAGAAATAAAAAGAAAAGGAGTATAGAACCTTTGACGACGATCGATCGAAGTTACAAAACTTTGCGAGTCTGGAAAAGAGTCAATCTGTAACAGAAACCATACCTGTGCTTTGTGCGTCTTTGGTTTTGTTTCTTGAATGTATGATATAGTGAAAATGGAAGTTTCCTTCACGTGTAACTCGAGCATAAGCTTTACTCTCGCTCACCTTCTTTCGAGCTATGGCTTAGTCAACATACAGTGATTAGCAAAGATCATCGCAAACATCATTGCAACCTTACGCTGTCGTGAGGAGAATCATAAGCCCCTCTCTTATGTTTATTGCCTGCTGTATATCTGGAATTCTTCTGGATCAAGAAAAAATAAGAATTGTACTATGCCGCTGTAGCAAAGGTTGCTCAGGCAAGCCTACAATCGTTGCCAGAAAAAAGTTTATCTGAATCCTACACCGAAGAACAAAAGCCCAGACAAGATCAAACGAAGAGAAGCTAGATCCTAGAGGAAAAAGAAACAGCATTACCTTGACTTGGAACTGCGTGAGCGTAGGAATTCCCACATGAGACACAGCGAGCGCTCCAAAATAATTCCCCACCACCACAGCCTTCTCGACGGACAGGCCTCGATAGAGCCCCGCAGTGAATCCACCCAAGAAACTATCTCCAGCACCAGTTGGATCGAGCTCGCTCGCCGGAAACGCCGGGACGTGATACTCGTTGCTCTTGATGTAGACCGTGCTGCCTTTGTCACCGTTTGTGACGATCACACACGTCTTTTGGCGAGCGTTCTCCAGATCGATGTACTTGGCCTCGGACTGGGCCGCCTTGACGAAAGAAACCCTGTCTAGCATCCCATAGAACTCCGTGTCCTCGAGCTTGCGATATTTGACCACTCCCGTCACCGGATCGATGAGCCGGATGAGCGCCTGGAGATCCACGATCACCCGATCGCACAGCTTGATAATCCTCTCCAGCGCCTCGGGCAGAATCTCGCCGGCGACGCCCGCTGCCAGGCCGATCCCATAGCGGCTCCGCCGAGCGCCGCCGAAATCCGACGAGACAATTGGATCGCACATCTTGACCGCTCGCAGCACGCGATCTTCATCCTCGGCGCCTGTGTAATCCGCCACGAAGTGCGTCGTCGCCGATCGCTCGACAACCACTGGCGGATGCGATACCCTAGACCGATAGGCGAAATCCGGGCCGACCTTGGAGATTACCTCCGATTCCACGCCAAGAGCGTCGAGGACATTCACCAGGTAACCCGCCGATCCGCCCAGGGTATCGGTGCGCGAGGATCGAGTGATGATCGTGTCGTGGCAGTAGTTCCCCACAATGAGGATCGGCCCAGCGAGCCCTGGCCCATCGCAGCCGTTGGACTCCACGATGCCGTCATCCTCTTCGTCCATTGAATGCCCTAGCATGCTCCTCTAGTTTCACGCGAAGAGGAAAGAGGAGACGAATATTTAGGGCTTTTTAGGACAATGTGGAATACCACGTGGCACTCTGTAGTGCTGCCAGGTGGCACTTTGTGTTAAGAATTAGGGTTTTAGTTTAAGGGTTTACCTGTTTTAGGGTTCCTCGAGAATGCACACTGGGTAGGAGCGATGATGCTGCCCATTCCAGGGCTGTCCAGGGTTTCTCCTGTCGCGCGTGGATTTACACTGCTGTGCCACGCTCGGAGAACCGGGATTTGGAGCTCCCGGAGCCAGAGATGGGGGCTTCTGGTGCGATGCTGCGGGACGAGCGAGGTAAGCAGCTCGAAAGCTCCCCCGCCGGCAGTGGATTACCAGACGCCCTTTGCGAATCCGCTCGAAGGATTGGCAGCATTGATTGCATTGAGCACTTCCGGGAAGATTATAGGCAAGGACGCTCACGGGAATATCGTCGTCAAGGACGCGGAGGACGCTGGGAATGCGGGGTCTGGCGTGAAGGAAGTGAAGGAAAAGAAGAAAGCTGTCGCTAAGGTTCCAAAGAAAGAGGAGGAGCTCAAGAAGAAAGATATACGTTCTCCCAAGGTGAAAAAGGTGCCGACTCCAGAGCCAAAGTTCTCCAAAGCTGCTAGGAGGTTCTTCAACATGAGATTCCGGAAAGCTGAAAGATTGAGCAAAGTTATGGCGGCTGCTGGAGGTGACTAGATTTTTTTTCTTCTGCTTTTTTTCCTCACTCTCTAGCCACGTTTATAACTATCTACCTTGCAGTGGCATCGAGGCGTGCTTGCGAAGAGATCATATTTGCTGGCAAGGTTGTTGTGAATGGTAAAGTTTGCAGGACACCCGAGGTCTGTCTTTTCTTTATTTCGATTGACTTTGAAGGTAGTGACATATGCTCTGACAGACTCATGTAGATCCACTGAAAGATCTTATATACATTGACGGGAAGCCAATTCCTCGGAGGCTGCCTCCAAAAATGGTTTTCGCTCTGTACAAACCAAAAGGGTGAGCTGTTATTGTCACCAGATGCTAGAGTTCTCAATGTTTGATACCATGTGTAGCTACATTTGCTCTGATGCCAAGGATGACAAGAAAACAGTCTACTTACTACTTGAAAAGTACCTTAAGACATGGGTTAGTGTATTTCGATTCGGAGTTTGTCGTTTAATCCTTTGTATTTGCAGGAAAAAAATAACCCGGGACTAACAAAGCCTAGATTCTTTACAGTCGGTCGCTTAGATGTTGCCACAACTGGTCTTATATTCGTTACGAATGACGGTAAGAAAGCAAAGAATTGAGAAGAATCTCTCATGCTTACGACTGAAACAGGTGAATTTGCTCAAAAGGTTTCGCATCCATCGTCGGGTATCACAAAAGAGTAAGATCTTACAAAATGAAAAAGAGCTCATACAGCTGTTGTGCAGGTATCTTGTTACTGTGGATAATGAAAGTGTCACAAAGAGGCAACTAAAAAGAATAGCAAGTGGAACAGAGATTGACGGGGTTATGTGCGTCCCAATCTCCGTCGAGCTTGTAAAGTCGGAGCCAGGAGATAGCAGGCATAGAATACGTGTTGTCGTAAGTCCAGTTGGATTCCCTGGCTTTTCATCTGACTAAGCTGGAACTTGCAGGTTACGGAAGGACGAAATCACGAGGTACGGCAGCTGGTAGAGAGTGCATTTCTCAAGGTATATGAACTTCTGTATTCCTCTTGCAACTGCCTGACTGGTTGTTCCACCAGGTTCATGCTCTCAAAAGAGTTCGCGTCGGTGGACTGCGTCTCCCTTCCAAGCTAAGGTACTGCAGTGCATTTTTGTTTTGTTTGTTTAGTTTTGCGTCCCTTGCATTGCAGTTCTGGGATGTTCATTCAACTAACACAGTCCCAAATCAAACAAGTGGTTGAGAGGGATCCAGTGCTACTCGAAACCGGACGGGCTCCATTGCCGCTTGCAAGCTCTGCAAGTGGCAGCAAAGATCTGGTTCTACAGGAGGAGGAGAAGAGCGCAGCCGTGGCGGCCAAGAATTACCCACTTACGATCGAGCGGAAGGAGGTCCAAGCGATCATCGAGTCCAACAAGATCAAGCCATTGATGATGGAAGAAGTAAGGAGGGTGGTGAGTGTTCGTAAACAGCATCCTACAAGACGGGTTCGTGCAGTGGTTTTCAAGTGAAATCTTTTCTTCCTTGTTTTGTGCTCCTGACCGATTTGCCTGTATAAACAACGAAGATTGCGCGCCATCGCTTTACGTTTCTACGATCGTGCTGATCGGCCCCAGGCGAGAAAAAGACGAGGCTTTAATTCTTTTGCTGGAGGTTCTTATGATCTTGAACTGTTCGTTCAGATAGAGTGCTTTTCACGATGGAAGAAATGCGCGACAAGACACCACTCACTCACTGTTTATGGGATCGCGCTTATTGCGAAAGCCATCGAATCATTTGACACTCACTTGGACAAGGTACTTTAGCTCAACGTGGAAAGAGACGCTACGAATCTTCGGGTAAGTGCCATGATTATTCACTACCATAGGTGAGTGAGTGAGCGAGTTTTTGTGGTAGACGTGTGGCTTCTTTCTCTGTGGCTACTTGCATTTTTTTTTCCTCTGAAAAGCATCGGATGATCTGTACTAGATCTGTGCAGTGCTAGCCGCAAAGCTTTCATTCCTTTCACCCGAGAGTGTCAGTTCTACTTGAGTTCCAACTTTAAATCATACAGGAAAGAGAGAAACGAAGCAAGAGAAGAAAAAGAAGCCTTTGATAAAAGTGGAAAAGCAAAGCTCTTTGGGGAATGAAAACATCCTCCCCTGGAGTTGTATTCTCTCACCACAGCAAAGCAATTCAGTGCTCTACAACTTTTTTTGATCCTTTATTTTTCACCAAGTCAACAAGGAAAAGAAAAGAAACAGATTTTTAAAAAAAACTGAAAAAAAAAGGAGAACTTCTTGAACTAAATGTTTGTAGCTAGCAATGTTGGTTCACGTGGGGGAGTTTGTCTGTAGTACTCCAGGTCTGTCTCAGTACTCTCCATTCAATTCTAGGCCAAAGTACGCGTACGTAAATATTCCACTTCAAGTTGAACTAGGAAGGACCAGCCTTGGTTGATAGGCTTGGATGATTTGTGAATCATAGGCAGAGCTTGGCCGCTCAATTCAACCATCAGATCCTTATTCTTCTTTCTGGACAGCACTAGGTAGAATTCCTCAAACTAGGAGCAAATCAAGGCCAGGGCAGGGGAGCTTTGGACCACAATTGACAATGTTCTAGATAAGCTTGTCTCCTTTTTTCCTTTCTCATCTTCTCTTTCTTCATGCAGCTTTCCCTGAGTCCAATGTGGGGAGCAAGGTTCAAGAAACTTGAGGTATAGCTACTACATGCACAGTGTTTGTAGCCATATAGCTTCACTAGTAGTAGTATGTGTGATGGAAACTTTGCAATGAAAGCCTTGAGGACCAACAACACACACAGACACACACATGTTTGTGCTTATCCTGGTGGTGGCTGGCTATAGTAGAGAAGAGAGGTGGCTTGTTTTTTCTCTTTGTTGTTTGCCTTTCACCTGTATCATCCTGTATCCCAGGTCTTGTCAAATCAAATCAAGAAACAAAATAAACAAAATCCCACCAGTATATGTATGTCATGCTTGTTAATGGACCATTTTGGACATTGTCAAATGGAAATCTTACAAACAGGAAGTAGGTTCCCAGGCAAAGAGACAACCCCCACTCATAGGTTGTGTGTAGAGTGGATTTCTTTGTAGGCCTCTAGAGGTGAGAGCATGATCTTACACCACTTCCTCTTGTTTGGGTGTTTTTTACTGATCAATCACTCAATTGCTCATGTCTCCCTCTCTTGTAAGTGGGGTTTGCAAAGTGTCATCAATCCAAGCAACAACAAGTAGCTCAACAACATCCAACAAACCCACTATAGGTGACTATATTTTTACTAATCACCATGGAGCTTTTTGACCACCTCCATTTTTTCTGACAGGAAGAATCTAGCCATCTAGGGCTGTGGTTGTGACATTTCCCTCAATCAAAGCAACAGTGTTGAACAAGCCACAAAAGATCAAAGTTACAACTTTGGGCAGACCGAAAATCAAAAGATTCCGGAAGCCAGAAACATCAACCAATACACAAACAAAACCTATAAATTTTCCCTTAGTATGATGTACATGGAAAGTCCCAACAATCTGTACCACAGCAAAAGACTCACTTATACTGTACAGTGCCAAAATTTTTAATTCGGCTCCTTTGGCTATGCGACGAAGCCTCGTTCTTCCCCAAGAACATAGGAAACTTTACAGCTCGAGGAGCCCGAGACGCCGAGTTGAGACCTCACATTTGCAAACTCACCAGCCGCGAGCAGGGATCATCTCCTGCTGTCGCATATCCTGCTTGAACTTATCGATGTAATTCCCGATTATCTCGTTGAAAACGTCCTGGTCGCAAGTCATGAGGTTGCTGCTGTATGCCTTGCCACTGCCCGCTGCCTCGGCCGGGAGCTCCATGATGATCAGGCTGGATGAATGATGGTGCTGGTGGTGGTGCCACTGATCCTCCTCTTTGTTATAGCACGACTCTTGCTCAACCTGCTGCTGCTGCTGCTTCTCCTCTTCCCGGAGCTCGAGCTCGTCTTGGAGTCTGGACCTCGACGGACTGGGAGCCGAGTACTGCCTCTTCATTTTCTTCGCAGCTTTGACTTTAGTCGTAGCGCCCGTTGCCGAGGAAGAACGGGTTAAGTTCCGGGACTTCGTTGCAATTGCGGCCTTGTGCTTGTCATCGTCGCTGGCGGGAGGGGCTTGATGATCCTGGAAGCTACCGGAGGCTGGCGCTGCAACAGGGAGAAGATTAGACATGTCGTCTCTAGAGAAGCAGCCGGACGAGAGAAGTATGGCGACGATCATCACGTTCATGAGGAGGAACAAGACCGCGGGAGTGAGGCAGTTGCCAAGCGTTGCGATGATAGACCACATTCGTTGGCCCAGAGTGAAGTATAGAAAAGCAATAACAGGAAATGTGTACCCACCGGGAAATGGGAGAAGCCCCGAAAAGGAGAGAAGATCCATGGTGACGACTAACACGGCCATCAAGGACCAGAGTATGGCAACCTGCTTCAGACATGGAATTCCTCCGCAGGTGTCCGACACGAAGCAAGACTTCTTGTTGTCACCAAATTCCATGTAGCGGAGGTAAAAAGAACTCTGTCTGATTAAAGCAAAGGGAAAAGGAGAGAAGAACTCGAGCGCTGAGAGATCTCAAGGGAGGACTGTGGCTTATATTTGCAATGTAGCAGAAGCAAACAAGGATCTCGGCTTCCAGACTACACTTCAAAAAGTGAAGCCTACAGCCGACCCTCTAGGCTGGGACATTTGAACAGATAACTAGCGAAGAAACTTACAAAGGATGGAGATGTAGACAAAGTGCAGGACCACAGGAAACCAGAGCAGAAAAATCAAATCCCCCAAAGCAACCAGTCCCCTGAACTTGGAGAACAGAGGAGAGGAAGGAGAAGGAGGAGGGCACGAGGAAGAAGAAATGCCAGGATGATTCAGGGTGGAATCGAAAACGAAGAATATAAAGGAAGAACCTGTGTACCGAGTGCGTGCTAGGAGAAAGCAGACAGCAGACACCGCCTGGCAAAACTCCAACGCAGTAGCTAACCAGTGTTAACCCCTCGGTCGAATCACACCGCTGACCACACTGTGTTGAAACGATAGACTAGAAAACAAAAACCATACTCAGAGGGTCATTTAAGCACTCAGAGGGAGGAAAACAAAAAAAACTAAGACTGTAACATACTGTCACGGAACAGTGACAGAGAAATAGAGGCAAGACCCGACAGCTACGTTGTGGATAGATTTGTAAAAGAGAAAGCAAGCCATACACTTTCAGCCAGCATAGCGGAACACGGAAACCAACCTTATCAGAGACGGGCTGAAAGTTAAAGAGGCCGGGGCCGCCTAGATGTTGTTCTCGCTCGGAAAGCAACATTGGCTCTCCCCAAATACTATAAACAACTTCTCGACATCGCGACGAGAAATCATATAAAAAAGGACCAGGAGACACAGGATAGACTGGGCTTAAAGATAGCGCACCCCACACAACACATGACTTGTAAGAAACGAGACGATGAAGAAGCCAAGTGCAGTCAGCAGATCAGGCGGGAGCAGCAGGCAGCATAAAGCATCCATTGAAGAGCCATAAATGACGAGAAGAATCGCAAGAGAAAAGAAAAGAAAGAACGCAGGCTTTGCATGTAAGAAGATCCATGACTTCCTCCACAAATGAATGCAGTACCATCCAAAGAAGCCCACGTACTTAGCGCCCTCGCTATAAAAAATGCAAGCACTCAAAGAGGAGGGAGGAAGAAATACGAAAGAACAAGAGCTTCAAGACCACTGCTTACTCGCAGAGCCATAAAATCTAGGGTGGAAATCTAAGGCATGACTAGGAAACACATAGAGAGGACCTATGTTACTGGTGAAAGGATCAGGGCAAGGACGATCACTCACCAGGAGCTGCGAGAGAGATTTGGATCCATTCTCCGTAGCTGCGCTGCTCCTTCCTGATTGACGCGCCAGGCATCCGTGCTCCTCCTGCGACCCTACCAAATATTTTGACCTAGGCCCCACGAGAATGTTTAAAAGCCCTAAAGGGGGATATTCGCGAGGGCGTGGGGCATATCCTTGGCAACGGGAAAGTTTCGTACGGCAGACAACGGTACGGAGGATTTACTATTTTCAAGTGGATTGGCGAATATGCTCCCGGGTACAATAAGATTCGGCACGCGCAAATGCTCTCCAGTAGCGTGGATTTCACGAAGGCTGCAAGTGGTTTTATAAATGTAGCCTTTCCTCGCGATTTAGGGCTCTTGCGGGGATCGTAGCAAGATCGTGTTGTCTAGGGAAGTCATGACCCTTGTGGTTCTTCTCTTCCAGTCGATCGGGATCAGTAGGCTGCTGCTGATTCTTCTCCTGCTAGCCTTCTCCCCTGATCTTGCCGATCTAGCGTCCAGGAGCCCCAAATTCTTCTTGTTCCTGGCCGTGAATTTGCTAATTCTCTCGCTGCTGATCGCAACCCCAAGTTTTAGAGGCAGTCCTGGCACGATCCCCAGCGAAGAATTCGAATCGCAGAGGGCGATTGTAGTTCGCGACCCCATGATCGTCGCCCATGTCAATTCCGCCGATGGATCGAGCAATGCTGATGTGTTTTTCATCTCCTCTCCCGCTTTCTACTGCGAGAATGTTTCTCCGCTAACTCCGCATCCAACCCGTGATGACCATCACGGCCGCGAGGAACTCTGTTATAATCCCGGAAAGGAAGACGATGGCGCTTACGACGATTCTCTGGCCCTGATAACGACCGAGGTCGTTTTCCCGGTCGAGAATCGCCAGATCTGCAAAGCCATCGTTCCCTTCCACCAAGAAATCGCCGAGGATCCACCAAGATCAACAAAGACGAAGAAGACAACAAAGAAGAGCACGATCAAGAAGAGGAAAGCAGCGGCAGCAATCCCAAAGCTACTGGAAGAACATCAGGATCACAAACAATTAGCACAGGTTAGTGATCAAGTTATTAGCAGTAATGGAGAACTCGGGACGGCCACCACAGTCGATGTTGGTCGCTTGTCCAGCTGCTCCATCGAAGATTTCAACGAGGCATGCTCGACGATCATCAAGCTACGTCGTCAGGAGTGGCAAATCCGTTGAGATCTAACAAAAACAAAAGCTGAAAAAATACCCCAAGAACATGCTATGATCTTGTGACTTGTCAAGAACCTTCTATGATCATGTGTATAGTTTGAAGTTTCGACTAGGGTTTAGTCAAGGCGAATGTTCCTCCTGGCGGCAAAAACAGACAAAATCTGGGAAGTTCCCGACACTTTTCATAGTTTTATAGAACTTGGCTCAGCAAACAAGTTGACGGGCCTACAAAACAGAGACTAAAGTCTCGGCGGTGATCTTCCCAGGTTTCTTCGTCCCAAAGTCCTCGGGATTAATCAACGCTCATGAGCAGCGAGCGGGTCACTAGGATGTCGAAAAGATTAGCTCGAGGTCTCAATCCCCCAATTTAATTGCATTGCATTGCTCTCACCAGAATTAAAGGTGGCATCAAAAGATTCTCTCGTATTTTTCTAGTTTTTATGCTGGCTGGGAAGGAATCACCCGTGAAAATCGCTTTACATTCGACCTTCATCTCTTTTGCATCTTTTATCTTTTTGAGAGACCATTCTTAGTGTCCAGCATTTGTGGAAACTTATATCTATACACAATGAACAAGGAACTTTGCCCCGTGATTCTTCGCGACGATCCATATTCCTTTGGATTTGGATCATCTCAATTGCCATTCTTTGCGATGGAGCTTGATGATGGCAGAGCATGCCCTGTTGAAATCATCCATGGAGCAATCCAGCAGCCCATCGACGCCCACCGTGACCATCGCGTTTGTGCCGCGCCCCGGATTGCTGCTCACTGGAGGAGATTTCCTCGCCTTCTTGCCCTTCTTCTTGATCTTCCCGGGCGAAATTACAACAGGGGATTCCACTTCCACTGGCGTCTCCGGCGGCAATTCATCGCAGAGCGAAGGGGCTGGCACCATATCCCTGCAATGATTGCTGTCCAGGAGCTCTGGATCGCCCTGGCTTGTCACGACCAAAGCCAGAGATTCCCCGGCGCCGCAAAACTCGAGCTCCTTGAGCTCCTCTCCCGGATAATCCCCGAAAGAAGAGGAAGAGACGACGAGGATGTCAAATTCATTGCCGCCCTCCGGTATGATGTGCGGGATGGCGGCATTCGCGTCGTCGTGGACGACGAGCGCTCTGGACAATTGGTCGCTGCCAGGGTTCTGGGCAGCGCGGCCCATCGCAAACAGTGTGATGACGAGGAGATTGACAGCGAGAAAGAGCGAGCGCATGGAGATATTGGGCGCGCGCGACCTGATGGCCTCGGAATCGAGGGCGAGGAGCAGCGGAACGAGAACCGCGAAGAGGAGAGAGCTCCGGAGTCCCTGGAAGAGGAGCAAGAAGGCAGCCATAGCTTAGAGCTCTAAACGATTAGGTCTGCATTGCGATGTAGCGAGGGAGCGTCGAGAGGAAGCGCGGGCGAAGGAAGAAGCGAGGAATGTTTGCTCTATGTCGTGGAGCAAAGAGACTGTACGGTAGCGTTGAATCGTCTCCCTCTTTTTCCCGCCAATTTTCAAACACTCTCTCTAGGGTTTTTGCGGTGCTCCGGCTATGGCTGCGGTGCTCCAAGCGCTCGATGCTGCCAGAGGCTTGCGATCCTGGACGTGGCGCCTGGAGGTTTGGGGAATAGAATATCTTTCGCCTTTTGTGGTGGAGGGGAATCATGCTTTCGTATCGAGAAATTTTGCTAGCATTAGCTCGCCTTGCACAGGTTTATGGACTTGTCGAGCTCAAGCACTATGAGAGGTACAAAACATCGGTAATTGTTTAGAAATTTCTTTGACAACTACTGTTTGCTTTGCTTTTCGTCCGGATTTTCCAGAAGCTGTGCCACTTTAAAGATGAGATTCGAGCTTTTTCCTTGGGGCCTGATTGGCTCCAAAAGCTTATATGCTACCAGAACTCAGGTAACTTGGTTGCATTTCCAATCCTACCATGACTATTGCTATGTGTTAGTCGCCATTTTTGTCGTGATTGGAAAGGATTTGCTTGGACTGGACGGGACGCAATTGCAACATGCAAGAGGTAGCGTAGTTTTTAATAATTCTACGCTGAGGATGACGAGCAGAGTTAAGCGAATTTCGTGCGAGCAAACGTGTTTGACTCGGATAAATCCATCCTTCTTTAAGATTCACAGGTATGGTCTGTAGCTCTCCACGTGTTCGCTGCAAAAAGAGCAGTGTAAGCTCCGATTGATGTGGAAATGGCGCAACGCTTGACATTGGCTTCGTCCGTTTGCGTTGCTAACATTCCAGGAATACCAACAACGTTCTCCAGGAATGCTTGGCTGGGCGAGAACAAAAAATGGAGGCAAAGTCCCAAACTCGGAGTGCCGCTGCGGCTCACAGGTACTTGACGAGTTTTTGATTTTCTAGGCAGAAAGAGAAAACAGTGCTAGAGACGATTGAGAATTTTGTAGTTCGCGCTGAGAGCAGCGGTGGTGGTGGTGGTGGGGGTGAGCAAGGAACCAGCCAGTACGGGCTTGGTGGTCCTGGTTCCTTCTTTGGATTTGGCAACTTTCAGGAGCGCCTAGTTGGGCGATTCGCTATGGTTGGCGTTGTGGTAAGCTGGATTCGCAGCTCTTCCGCCAAACTTACAAGCGTCTGCAGGCGGCTCTGGTAATGGAAGTTGTGACGGGAAAAGGGATTTTCGGACAACTTGGACTTGATCCACTCCGAGTTCGCTATCCAGTTCTGTTGGGATTCACATTCTTACTGGTGGCAGGCCTTGTTGGCGGCTACGTGGTGATAAACAATCCCCCCGACGAGTCCAAAGCTCCGCCGAACGAAGGAGCCGGAGTTCCCCGTGATCCATTAAAAACTTTTGATCCGAAAGACATGGACAGGCTGCCGACGTATACTCGTGGAGGTGTTGTTGAACGCCCAGACGGACAGGTTGACATTGATTTTCTATTCCTTGCAAGTTTGAGTGATATTTAAAGCTTTGGCAGAGGGGACGAGAACCATATGTGTCGGACTTGGACGTTAAAGATTAGATGAACTATCCGTTCACCAATATTACAAAAAAATGAGATCCACATGACAAAATGTTACTCTTTTGTGTGGAGTAAAGGTGAGATTTTCCAGAAGGTAGTATTCCTTTCTCTCTTTTTTTTCCTCTTCATTCCCCCATGGCGGAGCTGACTGAGGAGCAGGTCTCTGAGCTGAAGGAAGCATTCAGCTTGTTCGACAAAGACGGCGATGGTCTGACTTCCCAGGTCTCAAGCCAGTGATTTCTAAAAACCTTTTGCATTTGACAGAGCGCATCACCACTCGCGAGCTCGGGGCCGTGATGAAATCCCTTGACCTGCATCCAACGGAAGTGGAGCTGCAAGATATGATAGACGAGGTTGACAAGGATAAGAGCGGCACAGTGGAGTTCCCCGAGTTCGTCGCCCTCATGGCTCGCAAGATAAGAGGTGGCGAGTGCGAGGAGGAGCTCAAGGAGGCATTTCGCGTGTTCGATCGCGATCAGAATGGCTACATTAGCGCCGTGGAGCTCCGCCAAGTGATGGCGAGCATGGGACAGAAGCTGGGACAAGAGGAGCTGGAGGAGATGATGCGAGAAGCGGACGTAGATGGTGATGGGAACGTCAACTATGTAGAATTTGTCAAGATAATGACGATCAAGTAAACTACATAAACCATGTATAATTAGTTAGCCTAAACACTTATTAAATAATTTTATGAGACATCCTTAGAAGTTAGTTAAGAAGAAAAAGGTAAGTATAATGAGTATAATCTTTTCTTCACATTTTTTTAATCCTTTTTCAATATTGACAAAAATGTTTTGGTTTGTATTTGTTTTTTCTACAACATAGATATTCGCAACGGATATCCACTAAAGGCGTTGTTACACTCCAAAACTTCTACACTAAAAAGAATTATGAAGCCATACATTGCAGTTGTGTTCTTGATGGTTCTCCTTGTTGTAGCGTCTCTGTCCGACTGCAGGAAAACATGTAAGAAAATCACTCTGTGTTAGGATTTTCACCTTGAAAGTGTACATTTTGCAGCGGTAGAAACTGAAAGTACTACTACACCACCTACAACATCGTCCGTGAAAATACATCCCACTGATTTAATTGGCGATTGTTGCATGGACACAGGTTCCCGTAGTTGCTGTGATCCTTAACTTCACAAATCTTAAGAATCTTTCTCAAGTACTTTGTTCTACTCTGAAACAGTGTGTTAGAATAAATCATGTTAGACTAACCTTGGCCATGGGACTCGTCGTCGTATATGCGCTGGACAGCAGCATGTACGACGAGGAATGCGTGGCGCCGAGCCCGTTTGCAAAGCTCGCGCACCGAGCAGCCCGGCCCAGATCGCCGTGCACCTTGCAAGCGCCCAGCAAGCTCGTCCACTCGACAGAGTTTGGCAGAAACGGCATGGTCTGGACGAGCTCCTCGGCCTCCGCAAGCCTTCCCGTCCGTCCCAGCACGTCTACAATGCACGAGTAGTGGTCGTGCAAAGCGGCCAGTCCAAAGTCGGCCACCATGCTCGTGAATCCACTCCACGCCTCGCGCAGCATCCCCGCGTGGCTGCAAGCGTGGAGGATGCTCGTGAAGCTCACCTCGTCGGGCTGGATCCCCTCGAGGTTGAGGCAGCGGAAGAGAAAGACGGCGTCGTGGATCCGGCCCTTGTGGCAGTGCGCCGAGATGATCGCGCTCCACGAGACGGCGTCGTGGAGCGGCGTGGAGTCGAAGATCCGGGCAGCGGACTCGAGGTCGCCCGACTGCGCGTAGGCCGTGAGGATGGCGCTCCACGCCAGGACCTCGTGCGCGGGCATTCGATCGAAGATGGCGCGCGCATCGCCCACCGCGCCGCTGCTCGAGTACATCCCGATCATGGCGTTCCAGGGGACGTCGTTGCGCTGCGGCATCGCGTCGAAGGCCTGCTTGGCTCGATCCAGGCTGCGCGGATCGGTGGCGAAGGCCTGGATCATGTAGTTCCAGCTGAAGGAGCTCCGGAGCGGGACGAGATCGAAGATGCGCTCCGCGCCGGCGAGGTCGGCGTTGGTCGCGAAGGCCGAGATGAGGATCGTCCAGGCGGTGGAGTCGCGGGCGGGGATGGAGTCGAAGGCGAGCTTGGCCTCGCGGAGATGGCCGCGGGGTGACGAGTAGAGCACCACCATGGAGGTGGCGGCGACGACGTCGTGCATGGGCATCTTGTCAAAGACGGACTTTGCGTTGTCCATCCGTGACTTGTGAACGAATGCCGAGAGAATCGCGTTCCAGCACGGGTAGTCCCTAGCGGACGAGGATCCGGCACAGACTCCAGGCATTCGATCGAACAAGCCCTTGGCTTCCTCAAGATTCCCGGACTCGGAATATCCCTGGATCATGGTCGTCCAGGATACCACGTCCCAGCCGGGCATCTTTTCAAACAGCGCTTTCGCTTCTAGGAGATGGTCTCTCTGGGTGTGCGCCGCCACCATGGAATTCCACAGTACGAGGCTTCTGGAAGGGATGGAGTTGAAGATTCGCTTAGATTCCTGGATGTGCCCTCGCAGGGCATATGTAGTGGCCATGATGTTCCACGAGATTCCGTTCCACGCCGGCATGAGATTGAAGAGCGCGTAAGATTCCTCCAGATACCCGTGCTCGGAATATGCCACGATGAGGATGTTCCACGACACGCAGTCACGCTGGGGCGTGCAGTCAAACACGTCGCGCGCCTCCTGGAGATGCCCTGCCTGGGAATATGCCTGCGCCATTGCATTCCAGGATACCGAGCATCTCCCGCCCATGCTGTCAAAAATTCGCTTGGCTTCGTAGAAAAGACCCGCCTGGTTGTAGGCGGTGATCATCACGTCCCACGAGACGAGATCGTGAAACGGCATGAAGCGGAAGATCCACTCGGATTCCTGCAAATGCCCGTTTCGGGCATACGCTGAGAGAAGAGTGTTCCAGGAGATCATCTGCCGCTCGGGCATGGAGTTAAAGAGCAGCCTCGACTCGACGAGATACCCGTTCACGGCACTGCCGTTCACGATTGCGTTCCACGAGACTATGTCTCTGCTGGGCATAAGATCAAACGCATCTCGCGCTTGCAACAGATGCCCTTTTTGGGCAAACACAGAAATGATCGAGTTCCACGACAGAACATCGCGCTCCGTCATCGAGTCGAAGACATGTTTCGCCTCATCCGGGTTTTCGTTGTGAGCGTACGCTGCCAGGATCGCGTTCCACGCAATGACGTTGTGCTGCGGCATGAGATCAAACATAAACTTAGACTCCTCAAGATGCCCGGCTTGGGCATATGCGGTAACCATCGCAGTCCACGACACAAGGTCTTGCTCTGGCGCCCGATCAAACATCTCCTTGGCTTTGTCAAGGTGCCCGAGCTGGACGAACACGGCGACGATGAGCGTCCACGAGAAGACATTCCGGCGCTGGATGGCATCGAAGGCCGCCCGCGCGCCGTGGAAGCAGCCGCAGCGGCCATACATCTGGACGAGGAGATTGCCCAGGAATGTGTTGGAGGCGATGCCGGCGTCCTGGATCTGTGCATGGATCCTCCGCCCGCGCTCCAGATCGCGCTCCTGCCCGCATTCGCGCACCACCTTCGCGAACGCGTTCTCCTGCTCGCGGAGATCGAGGCTGTGCGACTGGAGCACCGCGCGCGCGAGCCGCCCCCATTTGGAGGTGCGAAGCATGCATTAGGGCTTCTTCTCTCTCGGTCAAACCAGAGCATATTCTTTTGGTCCTCCACTGAGTCACTTCATGCCCTGGATTTCGCTCTTAAATTCGGGAGTTTCGTGCGGTTAGGATCAAACACGAGGTGAGTGTATCTTGGATCGACATGTCTCATGCCTTCCTGGCGCTACGCGTCGGCGAGTTATAGAAGGGGCGCAACGTTAGAAAATGTTAAATGTTCTTTCCTGGTTTCTTGGCTTTCGATCTTGAGGGAGTGTACATGATTTTTCTCCTCTCTGCTGACGTGATCTCGGAATTGGCATCACGATGCTAGCTGGTGACACAATGCAATAATGGCCGTCCAAAGCTCCTGGGGAAAGCAATGACCGTCCAAGCTTGCAGTATGCCTCCGTCCCGAGGTCTCAATCCGAGTTTTGGCCAAAGTGACATGAGCTGCGGACTTGGAGGTATCGTATTTTTCTTGATGTGTTTGTTGTTTGCCTGGCAAATCTTGTTCGAAAAATCATGGCTTTTGTGAAATGTTTCGTTTGGAATTTGATTGTGATTACACACATCGTTCATATAACGCCATCCATTACAGTGGCACAGATCCGCAAGAAAACACGGGAACTTCGCAAACAACGCCAGCTTGTTACATTTAAAATACACCGTGAAGCTCCACAAACAAACAGTGTCGGAGAGGCTAAGGTTAAAAAACAGAGCAACCTAGAACGACACAATTGATCGCAGCGATGAGAGAACTCACGAAAGAGAGAGCTTGAGCAACATTACACTCGAAGCTGAGTAAGTTCCCACAAAAATTTTTGTTTCCTCCAACTGGGAGATGGGTGAGATTAAACCAGTTACTGTAGCTTATCCTCTCGCAGAAACGTCTAGAGAACAAAGCGTCGCTAAAACTTTGAGATTGAAGTTTCTGTATGCAGGCATAAACAATGCAAAGCTTGCTGCTGGCTTCGACGAGGCAATCCGGGTTTTGAAGGTTCTTTTTCTTTACTATCTGTTCCACCGACTATACTTAGAATCCTCACAACTTTGCAATTGCAGGAGAGATGTTTTGTTGTACTGCATGCTTTTTACTGGAAGTTCTGTGTTGGTGTCTTTGTGCTTAACATTTCTCTACATTTTCATGTTAATGGTAGACACTATCCCAAAGTCTTTTGATTCTAGTCTTTTTTGCTTTGCCAGCCAAACACGTTTGGAGAGTGAGGAAAGGCATAATGTCCAGCGATTGAAATGGCCTTCAGCATTATGTCAAGGTTCCTACACTCAGCCGATGAGTCCTTCATCCTTTCAGGTAAGTGTAACAAATTTTGAGGTTTTCCTCGATTCTAAGTTTTTTATTCTGAAACTGGCGCTTCGGAGTTCCCGCATTCATAAGTAAATTCGACTTTTTTAGCCTGGTTTTCCCCACGGGAGAAAAGAGTCTCAAGTTTTGCTGCTCATCACGAAATCGTAATTTTCTTTCCGAAGGTAAGCCGGAACTCTGGAATGACATAAAATTTGGTTTCTCGTGCAGCTGCGGGATTAGTACGCGGCATGCGAGAAACAGAAAATGACGGCAATTCTACCTCGTCCCTGATCCTCGGGAAAACAGCGACACTTGTAGGAGTGATCACTGGACGCTCCGGAATTTGCACTGCACAGTTCTCCAACAGATCGGAGACTTCGAAGTCCTTTCTCTTACCGGGAGGTTGCTCGGGCATCTCCTGTGTCATGGATTTTGAGGACCGATGCAACATGAGAAGCGATGATTCCGGGATGGAGCAAGAAGCATTCACAATGGGTAAGCCAGGAGAATTCTTTTCTTTTGTTCTTTCTCACTTTTTCTTCGTCTGGGTGTGATTGTATCTCTTTGGTATGCAGCTCGATCGATTACAGTGACGCTCTCACCAGTTCTTTTCATCTCCTTTTCGTAAGCGTCCACGAGAAGACATTGCGATCCCAAGGCCGCCTGGACGCCGTGGAAGCAGCCGCAGCGGCCATACATCTGGACGAGGAACCGGCGATCGATGGCGCGGGAGTGAGCGGAGATTGTCCAGGGATGTGATCCTGGTGGGTTGTCTCACGGTTAACGTTGTGGGTCTGCGGTACTACCACGGCACGGTGACCAACGGCGAGATGGTCCAGCTTGTCCGAGAGCCCGCCACCAATCCATACGACTCCAACGCCATCCGGGTGCTCAACATCCGGGGCGACCATGGCATGCCGGAGTCTTGGATCTGGGCATGGAACGCTCCAGATTGCGCTCCTGGTCGCCATCCTCGCGTCCTGGTCGTGCGCACGATGCGCTACCTAAGGCTTTTTCAAACCAGAGCATTCTTTGGGTCTACTATTTTCATAATACCTGGATGACGTGGCGGATCTCGAGTCAAAATATCTAAGAGCCAGCTGCCTTAGTTCTGGATCTGGGTTGGCCTTTTTAGGGCTCTTAGATGGGAGGGATTTCATGTGGTTGGGATCCATCACTGTCTGGTTCTACAGAACCATTTTAATTCTGGGAACGACATGTTTCATGCCTTCCTGGCGCCATTCTACTCGTGTTACATGTCGGCTAGATACAAGAGGCGTGCAAAGGTTTCCATCCATTTTACGCATTTATAAAAGTCTTCTTTTCGCTTGATTCTTGAGGCGGTGAAATGTCCTCTTAGAATTTATTTTTTCTGGTCTCTGCTTCGATGATAAAAACGTGATCTTGCAGTACGTCTAGGCATCTGGGTCTCCATCCAAAGTTTGTTGCGAGTCTCGGCGTGGATTCTAGCTGCCGAGTGGACGATTCCCGCTGGGGTTTTCTGGAGGTGGATACGTATTTGCTGTTTGCCTGCAAACGTGCTTCTCAAGGTGGAGGTTATTTCGCATACATGAAATGTTTGGTTTGAGATGCTTTGTTCATCATAACGTCATCCTTTGCAGTGGCCCAGATCCGCAAGAAAGTGCACGGGAGCTTCGCAAACAAGGCCAGTTTCTAAGCTTGTACATACAGCTTGGTCGAGGAAAGGCTAAGTTGCTCTTTTTTCTAGACCTACCTATGAACTTCCAACGACGCAACACGCAGCAGCACCAAAGCTGAGTAACTTTCCTTCAAAGCTTTCAAATCTTGTAAACTGTAGCTTAGCCTCTCGCAGATTGTACAGATCCTTTTGAAACTGGAAAACATTTTCTTCAGGCTCTTTTCTATTGCTAAAACTCTTGGTGAGAAGCCATTCAAGTTTCTGGCACTTTAAACTGGTAAGCTTTTATTCTACTGGGATCACTTTGAAGCTGGCTTGTTTGTTTTGTTTTTCTGTATGCAGGCATACACAACGCAAAGCTTACTGCTGGCTTCGACGAGGCACTCCGGGTTTTGAAGGTTCGTTTTCTATTTTTCTCTATCACAACTAGAGAGTCGTTTCTTGTACTGCATGTTTTTCTTTCTGTAATTACTGGAACTCCTGTGTGTGGGTGACATGTCTTTGGTGACATGTCTTTGCGCTTAACATTCCTCTACGTTGTCATAGACGCTCAAGACCAACAAATCTTAAAGCGTCAATTCTTTCAATCTTCTACTCATTATTGAGGCCATGATCCGGAAATATGTATTAGTGGTAAGTATCCTCGCTGCGAAAGACATTGTGTCCCTATTGAAATCGCCGTCGCCATTATGTAAGTCTCCTATACTCTGCCGATCAGTCCTTTATCTTTCAAGTAACTGTAGCAATTCTTGCAGCAGTTTCCAACAAACATTTTTGCAAAAGCATCAAACTGTTTGACTTTTTTTGGCTGGAACCTTTTGTTTCGTGCATGTCGTCAAGCCTGAGTGCCTGATTAATTAATGACTGATTAAACTCTGGGGAAGGAACAGGTTCATCATTCTTGGAAAAATCCGGATTTCAAGCAGCTTATTAATTTCGGCTTGTAAGCACACAAGTTTGCGCCGTTTCTCATTCTACTATTGTTCTGGTGATATTGCCACTTAATCTGGTAAATCAGTTTTTCTAGTTTGTTCTTCCACAAAGTCACTGTTCTAAACTTGTATATAGAGCTAACTTTGGAAACTATATGTGAATCTCTACAAACAAACAGTGTGAGGAAAGGCCAAGTTGCAGTTATTTCTAGAGCTAAAAAGACTAACCTTCACCTTCTATGAAGTTCAAACGACGCAACACGCAGCAGCATTAAGTGCTACCCTCAAAGCTGAGTAAATCTCTTTAAAACTTTACAATTTGCAGTTTCCAGCTGTGAGATTAGTAACTGTAGCTTAGTTTCGCACGCACAGATTGTGCAGATCCTTTTGTAACTGGAATACATTTTCTTCAAGCTCTTTGCAGAGAACAAGCGTCGGTAAACGAGAGGCCATTAAAGTTCCTGGCGCTTTAAACCGGTAAGTACTGGGATCACTTTGAAGGCGGTTGATTTTCTTTTTCTGTATGCAGGAATGAGAACGCAAAGCTTACTGTTGGATTCGATGAGGCAATCCAAGGTATTTTCCTTTATTACTTGTCCACCGAAATGCTCAATTGCAAGAGATCGTTTGTTGTACTGCATTTTTTTTTTTCCTGTAAGTACTGGAAGTCCTTGTGACTTTCATTTCTCTACATTTTCATGTTAATGGTAGAAGCTCAAGACAAGCAGATGCATATAATATCGACTGCGAGAAAACCAGTCAGCCGGTTTTCTTCTCCGAAGCTTTCTGCAGTGATTACAGTTCTTGGAGCGAGGCTTTTAACTCGCCAGCAATCTTCTTCCATGGAAAGTAAGAGCATTTTGTCACATTTTTCATTCAAGCTTAATTTTTCAGTGCCACGTTGATGAACCAAGCAAGTCCTTATGTAACGAGAGTCGTTCAGGATAATTTCGAGTTGCTGCTCAGCCCGTGCTTCTGAAATCTCGACGCAGTCCGTCAAACTCGCATGCTAGGCACTAGACCGCTGCCTAAAATGGACAGGCATACATCGATCTCGCTACACTGCTCATCCTCAATTAAGCCATGACTCAGGAGCATCGAGAGAAAGCTCTAGAAGATGAAAAGCGTCCTCAAGGTGTCAGGGAATCATATAATATCTTCTCTTCTTTCCGAAAGGTAAGTCATCTTCGTTCCTCTTTAGGAGAAATGACATAATTGTGCACCAGGAAGTCCGATCACTCTTGCAAGTGTCGCTGTTTTGCCGAGAGGGCAAGGACAAGGTTTCAGCTGAAGGAATTGATGTAGAATTGCCGTCATTTTTTTGTTTCTCACACGCCGCGTACTAATTGCGGCCTGGACAATTCGGAATTTGCACTGCACACAGAATTCCAAAGGCGAAGCCTGTGCTTTATGCTTCAAAGCGAAAGCTTTTCAGCTTTTCTTTTTTATTTACCGGGTGAGTGATTGAGATATTTTCGTGCATTGTTTTCATTGCCAGGATTCTGTTTACGAATCTGCTTTTTTTTATTGGCCGTTGCTGGGGATTTTGCAGAAAAAACGCATCCGAATCTCAATCAGTGGGGGTCTTTTTCGGCAGTGCGTCGAAGCAAAACCAGCGTACTCGGTAAAAAAACTCAGGAGAAAGCTTGCAATCCTTTTTTGATTATGATTCGGTGTATCTGCAGCAAATCATCTGTGATTCGGACGCTACACTCTCAGCATTTACAGCTCCCCCGCAAAACATTTCTATCAGTCCCAGAGATTACATTCATCGCAAGGAATTGACCCCTCCAAAATCAAAAGCGCAATGGTACTACTGCCACTTTATCTTTTACACAATCGAAAGCGAGGCAAAACACGCAACTTCCATCTCGATTTTTCAGGAAAATATTACTTGAATTCCTTGTGTGCTAGTGCTACTTTAATCAGGCACAAAGCATTGGGATCGTTCCACAGGCTAGAAAATAAAGGTAAAGCGGAAAGATATTTCATCTCCTTTTAGACACGTGGTCGACAGCTATGCGCTCCCGATCTCGAATGCGCGAATGGATGAGTATTCGAGCTCTGGATAAGCTTTTTGGCCTCCCCCAGATGGAGGCGTCGGCTAGTGTGTGGATCATATAAACCGCCTGTCCAGGATGTGCCTGGCGCGTATGGGGAGGTAGTAACGGGCGAGATTTCTATAAGAGGAAAGGCTAAACAGTAGAGGGTAGTGGAGCACAGCGCAAACCCTCGTTCCACAAATAGCAACCATCCGGTTTGGTTCACCAGTTAAAAATAAGGCTCACTGCTCCTTCCTTTTTCCATCCACTCCTCCTCCTTCTACCTTTTTTTCCTTCTTCTTCCTCTTGGCGAGCTCAATTAAGCAAGCCAGCCTTCTTCTTCTTCTTCTTCTTCTTCTCGATAGAAAGAGGGAGAGAGGCGGTATTGGGGGGGATGTGTGAGTTAGATGATTTCACGGAGCTGTAGCAGGCCCGGGGGATTGTGCAAGAGGGGAGCAATGGGTCGCGGCAAGATTGAGATCAAGAGGATCGAGAATGCGACGACAAGGCAGGTTACCTTTTCCAAGCGCCGTGGGGGGCTCCTGAAAAAAGCGCGCGAGCTAGCGATTCTGTGCGATGCCGAGCTCTCGGTTATCATCTTCTCCAGCACCGGCAAATTGTTCGAGTATGCGAGCTCCAGGTACGAGATAAGAGAGAGAATATGAACAGGAGGTGGTGTGTTCTCAAGACTTTTTCTCGCATTTTGAGAGAGAGAGGGGGAAGAACAAAGAAGAGAGAGAGAGAGAGAGAGGAGAGAACGAGAAGAAGAAGAGAAAGCGAAGAGTGGTGTTTCTTACTTTTTTTTAGTTCCGTCATTCTTTGCATGGGAAGTCGCCATTCTTTGCATGTGGGATCTAGCGCCCAGAAGATGCATTTAATGGCGAAGCTTCCACTTTGGCCCAGGATTTTGCGATTGACATATAGAAACTGTGAGGTTGATGTTTGCTCCTTGTCTAACAGCATGAAGGACATCCTGGAGAGGTACAGCAAGTGCCCTGAGAGGAATCCCAGCAGCCCGCTGGATGTTGATCTCGATAACGACGTAAGTCCTTAGCTTACAACTAGTTAGGTGTATCTACCATGAATTCTCTTGGGTGCTTTTCTGACAGTACTGGAATCAGGAAGTGGCAAGGCTCAAGCAGAAAATCGAGCAACTGGAGAACACAAAAAGGTCATCTCTTTTCTGGAGGTTGATGATCATAGAGCGTCGTTGTGGTCTCCAGGCATATGATGGGCGAGGAACTCACTTCTCTGACGGTGAAGGAGCTCCAGGAGCTGGAGCGAATGACTGAGAACGGATACAATGAGATCCGAGCGAGAAAGGTGAGGATCCCACTTCAAAAAGTTTCGATACGTTTTGAACTGAAGTGTGTATCTGAAATTGGTTTTGATCTAGTTGACACTGGTGAACTTGCAGGAGTCGCTTCTCATGGAAGAGCTCGAGGAGCTCCGGCGAAAGGTGCGTCCAAACTTTCCTGTCACTATTTGCAGCATCTAGTTAACTTTCCACGCTGGAAATATCTAAACACTGTTCAGGAGCGTGAGCTGCAGGACGAGAACACTCAACTTCGCGAGCAGGCAAGCTTTGATCTTTGCTATTGAAGCTCTTGAACAAGATTGTGGTTGATAATCCCACAGGTCGAGGCAGTGGAAGGGATAGGAAGTCACACGCTACGTTCGTTTACAGTGCTGACCGAAGCCCCAAGCCCTTCGGAAACAAGGGAACCCACGACGATCACACCGGGAGCTCAAGCTCAGGACAACTTGAGGGACGAGTCCGACACCTCTTTGCAACTCCGGTGAGCTGAGATGGGATGGCTTTCTTCTTTTCTTCCTTCCTGATCTTTGAAGTTGGCTTGGCGGATTTCTAGGTTATACGTTGATACGAATGGAGATGCCAGTCCCAGCTCCAATGGACACAACAAAGGAGAGTGGAGCACTTGAAGCAAAGGACCCACCCCTGCAGCATATACTATTACTATTACTTCAAGAAAGCTTTGGTGATTTGACTGGAAAAATAACATTACAGAAACAGAGAATTAGCGTTTCTTGAGGCTTGCCTCTTTCTCTTCTTTGGTCATGAGCCACGGCGTCACTCCCAGTGTGAAGCTTGGGGCCGCTGTAGTCTCCAAAACGGTGCTTCTGTTCACTCCAATCACCTGTCGGTCTTTGAAAGGAGGCTGCTTCCCATTGCAGCGAAAACAGTCCTTGTTCCTCGCGAAGTTGACCCCCTGGCAGCTACAAAAGATGGCAAGATATTTTGAGCCGGGACAAACTTAAAAGCTTACTTTGGACATTCCCAGTCTCCCCAACGAAGCTCTTTTGGCGGTCGTGGTGCGCTACAGTCGTCACATACTAGACTTCTTGCCAAGTTCTTTTGATTGCACCTGTGACCAAAAAATTAAGCCTGAAAATTTTAATCACGAAAGGCTTACTTGAAGCATTTCCATTCTCCTGTCCGGAGCCCACATGGAGTACTGCATCCGCGACAGAACTTATTGCCACTAAAGTTAAGCAATTTGCACCTAGGAACATAAGTACACATGAATTTTTAGTTATTTTTCCTACCAATGGCAAATAACTTACCTTGTACATCTCCAGTTTCCCGGTTTGACAGCCGTCTTTTCCATTTCTTGTTGACGCTCGACGACAGCATGGGGATTATCAGCGAGGAACACGAGCTGCTGCAGAATGCTCCTGGTAGTTTTCTCGACATCCTCTGGCAGTGGCCTTTTCTCAGAGTGATCACTGACCGCATCAAATCCAAACTGAAGAAGAAGCCATAGAATGTCGCTGCTCTCCGCAGGAACCGCAGACGGAGTACTTTCGCAGCTCGCTCTGGAGCAGACGTTGCTGTGGCTACAGAACTTGCAAACCTGAAGTGAAGGTGACATGTGTCGCTACATGAAAACGTAATAAAAGCTTACATCCGATTCGGTCAGGTTTAGATACTTTCTCAATCTCTTTCCCGAGTTAACAATTCTCCTGTCCGTGTTTGGGCACCCGAAAGCACCAAAAACCATCAAGTCATCCTGTGACAAACGTCTGCCAAGCTATCAGTCTACAACGAGAAACGGAAAAAAAAAAAGAAGAAAAAACTTACTGCAAAACATTCTCGTGCGTGGCACAGAAGCTCATTGCCGCTGCTTTGATTTTCTCCTCCATGCTCATAGCATCGTCAACTTTGTCCATCGTTGATTTCAAGTGCGATGTCTTCTTGAGGTGCTGTATAAAGGAAACCCATTCCGGCCATGGGTGCACGAGATCTACGTTCCGGGGGACGATGGAGCGCTTCGCGATGGCGGCAGGCTTTTCCTCGCCGCTAGGGACACCCTCGCTGTGGAATAAAGGCTCCTCTTCACCATTCTTTTCCTCCTCCACCTTCTTCTGTTCGACCACTCTCCCTTCAGGTTTGCCGAGTTTTATGACACATTGCTCGAATGGTCTCACACCGCCAAGGTCCTTCGAGAGTTCTTCGCTTTCGTAGCTCTCAGCCACAAACTTCCCACTCTTCAGCCGCTCGATCTGCTTCTGGAGCTTCCTGTTCGTCTCCATGATTTTGAGATTCTCCTGTTCCTGTGCTACCAAGGCGTTTCGCAACGCCTTGAGCTCCCGGGTATGGCCGCCAGAGACATCATCCTCCATGCCACACACGTCGATTTTCATCCTCTGGTTGAACATCGCGATCGCCTGCGACTCACATTTCCGTGCCTCGAGCGCCACCTTAAGAGCGCCGATTTCCCTGTCCCGAGACTCGGCCAGCTTCCGGCACAAATCCGCCCTATCGTCGGTGACACTCTTCCTTTCTTCGATCGATTCGCAGCCGTAGGCCCTGAATGCGCCGTAATATCGACTACTGGAGCGAAAGAAAGGATTACCTCGCGCGCATTCTCCATGGCGGCGGCGAAGAATGGAGCTCCTCCTCAGCGCCATAAACCCTCAACCCTCCATTTTCTTCACGGATTTCGATTTTAGGGTTCTTGGGAGAAGATGTACCAATGGAGGAAATTCCCCTTCTTCGAGGAGAAGGCGCTCGGATCTGGCGCCGCGGCGGAGCTGGGGGAGAACATCGTGTGCAGCAGCAGCGGCAGGGGCCAGATCGTGCTCGGTGGCGACGATGCCATGGTCCACGTCCTGGATCGAGGTTTCAAGCTCAGCTACAGCTTCCAGGCGCATTCCACGTCTGTGCTCCACGTCCATCAGCTCAAGGCAAGTCTCGGTTTCGTAGCCCCTGGTGCTGTTTTCTCATTGATCCTCGATCCTCGTTTTCTTAGCAAAGAAACATGTTGGTGACTGTGGGAGAGGATGAGGCTGCCTCAGCACAGGTATCTTCCATGTCCCTCAAGCTCTGGGATTTGAGTAAACATCAAAGCGAGGGCCCGAGTTCTAGCAGAATAGATCCAGTCTGCGACCGAGCTTTGAGAATCTTCTCAAATAAATTTCCCGAGGCAAAAGTAAGTTATTCTCCACATCCAGAGAAAGGTTTCTAATCTTTTCCTTTTGCAGATCACTTGTTTTCTGGTCTACGAGGAAGCACCTCCCATTTTGCTCTTATGTTTTGGCTTGGAATCGGGCATCGTGTATTGCATCCGTGGTGATATTGCTCGAGAGCGAATCTCACGACTCAAGCTTTCAGTTGATCCAGCAACGGCCACGAGTAGTGCTTCGCCGATTACCGGTTTGGGACTTCGACTAGATGGTCAGGCACTACAGCTTTTCGTAGTAACGGCGGCGACTGTGAATCTTTATAACATGCTTCAACACCCTCCTCAAAAGCAAGTCTTGGACGGGCATGGTTGCGATGGTCTCTGCGTGGCTATGAGTGATCGACAAGTAAGTTCTACACGTTCTTCTCTTTTTTCTTAGGCTGACAATTGTTGATGGTTTATAACTTTATAGGAGCTTGTTATTGGAAGGCCGGAAGCTATTTATTTTTATGAGGTGGACGGTAGAGGTCCCTGTTGGGCTTTTGAAGGCGAAAAGAAGTACGTTGGCTGGTTTCGCGGATATTTACTTGCTGTTATTGCAGACGTCCGTAAGAGCGTGTTCAACATCTACGACCTTAAGAGCAAGTTGATCGCTTATAGCTCAGAAGTGGAGGATGTTGCGCAAGTATTTTGCGAATGGGGCATCATCGCAATTATCACAAAGGACCACAAGGTTACGTGCTTAACAGAAAAAGACATGAACAGCAAGCTGGAGCTTCTCTACCGAAAGAATCTCTACCCGGTTGCTATAAGCCTTGTCCAGAGACAGCAAGCAGACGCTGCAGCCACTGCTCAAGTTATGCGAAAGTATGGGGATCATCTGTACAGCAAGCAGGATTACGACGAAGCTATGGCCCAGTATATCAAAACTATTGGACAACTCGAGCCTTCTTACGTCATTCAGAAGTTTTTGGACGCTCAGCTCATTCAGAACTTGACGCTTTATTTGGAAAGACTTCACGAGAAGGCACTGGCATCGGCAGACCACACAACCTTGCTACTCAACTGTTACACGAAGCTCAAGGACGCAACTAAGTTGGACAAGTTCATCAGGGGGGACGAGCAGACGGAAGGACAGCTTCGGTTTGATGTCGAAACGGCGGTGAGAGTATGCAGAGCTGCTGGCTACTACGAGCAAGCACTGTACGTTGCAAAAACCGCGGGGCTGCACGAATCGTATCTCAAAATTCTTCTTGGAGACCTGGGAAATTATGTTGAAGCACTGGAGTATATATCAGGACTTTCACCATCCGAGGCCGAGGTTACGCTAAAACAGTATGGGAAAATACTGGTCGAGCACAAGCCTGACGAAACCACGGCTACTCTCTTGACACTATGCAGTAGTGATGGCAATGCTACTCACACAAGCAGCAGCAGTGCTGCGCCACCGTCACCGATGGAGTTCGTTCACATTTATGTTGATCAACCGAGGTGGCTGATAGTTCTCCTGGAGCAATACCTTGTGAAGGTAAGCAACTCCCCGATAGTGAAAGACATTCACAACACGCTCCTGGAACTCTACCTGTCCGATAGTTTGGCTTCTACTTCTCCCGAGGAAGAGAGCTCTAGTTCGTCGCGAAAAACTCAGGTTAAGAAGACGAGATCTTTCAAAGACGCGGTGTCTAACACCCGGGAGACTGCCGAAGAGAGATCCTTGCGCTTGCAGAAGTCACTGGATCTACTAAAGAAAGGATGGGGTGCTCACGAAGAGGAGCCGCAATACGATGAAGCACTGGCGGTGATGCTGTGTGAGAGGCATAAGTTTCGTGACGGGCTTCTCTTCCTTTACGAGAAAAAGAGGCTCTTCAAGGAGGTGATGTCGTGCTACATGAAAGACAGTGACTACCGCGGCCTCATCTCCTGCTGTGAGCGGCTTGCGGACACGAGCAGAGGTGGCGATCCTTCGCTCTGGGCCGATGTCCTTGCGTACTTCGGGGAGAGAGGGGAAGATTGCTCCAAGGAAGTCAAGGAGGTGCTGGGATACATCGAACAATACTCGCTCCTGCCTCCACTGGTTGTGCTCCAGACTTTATCCAAGAACCCGACACTCACTCTCTCGGTGGTGAAAAACTACATCGCTACACAACTCAAGCAAGAGTCGAGGCAGATCGAGGACGATCGGAAAACAATCCAGAAATACGACGTGAGTTCCTACCCGCTGCTTTTTATTCCCACTCGTGTTCTAAAGTTGGCGATGGTTTGTGGTGCAGGAGGATAACAGGCTGATGAGGGCCGAGATCGAGGAGCTGAGAACAAAGCCCCGAGTGTTCCAGCTGAGCAAATGCACGGCCTGCACCTCGATCCTCGACTTGCCGGCCGTCCACTTCTTTTGCATGCACTCCTTCCACCAAAGGTGCCTGGGTGACAACGAAAAGGAGTGCCCGGTCTGCGCTCCTTCGAACCACACGCTGCTAGAGATGAAGCGGAATCTGGCACAAAACGCCACGGACCACGACAGATTCTTCCAGCTCGTCCGGAACTCGGACGATGGATTCTCCGTCATTGCGGACTACTTTGGTCGTGGCATGCTCAGCACTCATCGTCCTTAGCTAAGGTGGGCAACTTTGAGTGTGTTTTTTTTTTCTTCTCTTTTCTCTAGAGCTGTGGCTGATTTCCTCTTATCCTGTTGGTGCAGAAAGAAAGCTTCGCTGTTGATGTCACTCGAGTGTGTATCGGTCAGTGCTCGAAGTTTCTAAAAAGGCCTCTCATTTCCACGCCCTGTGGAAGTCAGCAACGCAAGCACACAGCGCAACATGGCTTGGCGAGTGTGCCCCCACCAGCGGATGTGTAAAAATCTTGACTCCTGCGAAAGGAGCATCGCGCGAGGATCATGACGCACGCATCATGGAAATAAAAAAAAAAGATGAACTCACATCGAGGTAAAAAAGGAGAAGGTTGTTTTGACAATTTTAACTGCAAGGTCAGAGTGTTGCTGGGTGAAAAGAGAAATTGGGAAAATTATTGTACGTTTGCTTTCGAAGTCTTTGTGACGCCGGGTGACGGGCACGAAAAGATCACTCAACTCAGCAGCAAGTCGTCAAGATGACGATTCATTTTGGATCTTTATTCTTTTCCTTACAAGGTTTTTCGCAAAGCTTTTATTTTTGGTCACTCGAAACAAAGCAGCACGTCCATTTCTTGCTGCGTCAGTTTTCCTGCAATCCTCCGTAAAACGTCCCCACTTTGCAATTGCTACTTTCTTACACCACATTTCCTTTTTTTGCATTTCTTGACAAATGGGGTTCCAAAAACAAAACAAAAAAAAAGATGCTGGGGGTATAGAACCTGATAATAATTGCTATGCGCCTCTGAGAAATTCCAATCCCTTCATTCTTGTTTTGACACCACTCCACTTACACTTGACAAGCAAAGAGATACAACAGCTATGTCAGCATTCACCAAGGAGCCATATTTTGCAAAACAGCAAAACATTCTAGCCATTATATCACCCCAATGGAACCAATATTCTATTCCATCCTCCCTCCTGCTGCTACACCAACCAGAGCAGCCAGAGAAAATCCCACCATATCAAATTCCATTCCCACTTGGGAGTGCAAAAGAGATACAGGGGAGAGGACATGAGAAGGGAAATTTTACCCCCAGCCTCTATTTAACAAGTCAGGAGATCCCGAAAGGAAAACAAAAAAAAAGGAGAAAATAAAAGCAGGGAAAACAAACAAAGTAAGAGAAATCAAGTCTTTTGGAGGCACACTCTTTGCCGAGAAGCTTTTTCCACTCTTCTCTTGTGGTTTGATGTTGTGCTGCTTTATGGTGGCGTTTGATTCTGGGACTTTCTTTCATAGCCACAGAGCCCCTGCTTCCTTGAGCTGGGGGACAAGCTTGCCGCTGATATGAGAAGCCATGACTTGATCCAAGCCACCAACGAGCTTACCCCCGATGAAAACAGTGGGAGACACCTGGGAAATCCCTGTGAATCTGGCCAGCGCCTTCTCGATCTCGGGCCCGTTCTTCTCCTCGTCCAGCTCGAACACCACTGGATTCACTCCCAATCCGCACAGCAGCCTCTTGACGACATGGCTCATGCAGCAGCCACTGCTGCTGAAGATCACCACCGCGTTCTCCACCGCCAGCTTCTCCACCACTTCCACCGCCGACGCAGACGTTGATTCGGCGGGCGCTGCATGGCCCATGAGCGGCAGCACAATGGCGCTCTGGCTCGACACTTCGTTCATCGCCACACCTCCTCTGAGATGTTGTAGGGAGAACTAGAAGATCAGAACACTGAGAGGACAGGAGAGAAAATCTTGAGAGGATGCAAGGGATACTTAAAGCATCTGATCCAATTCTTTCCAGACCATGCAAGGAGAATTCTTCTTCCACTGTTCTAAAGAGAGAGCGAATAGAGGCCTTACAGAGCCAAGAGAGGAATCGACACACGCTGGATGACTTTGGAGTGGTCAGTCAATCAAGCCGGGCACGTTAAGGCAAAGGGATCTGATCCCAGAGGATTGGC